GTCATGCTTTAAACTTCACACATAATGAAACGCACAATCAGCATAGATAGTACTTAAAATAGAAAAATCACTGAACATTTTAGTACAACTTGCAAGTTTATACCTTGAATATGACCAAAATGGGAATTTCTATAACTTAAAAAAATTTAGGTAAGACTAAACTGCAGTGAAATACTTCACCTGAAAAAAATCGTAACAAATAGAAGGCTTGACTAAAATATCATGATTTTGGTATCGGATCAAACGGAAACTCGCAAGCTTTCTCCTCGCACCAATATCTTATAACATTGAGAGAATGGCAGCCAGCAATAGCCAATCAGATGGTTGCTTACTTACAAGCACATACCGGTACATTCTTTCTTAGCAGTCATGTAAAACAAACCAAACCATATTATGTTGGTGCATGTTTTCATTGTTTTGTTAACTGCAGTCTCACAATTAATACACAGCACAGTTGCAATTGATCAGATAATATCGCATTGAAAAGACTTGGTGTACCAAGCCATTGCAGTTACTCCAGAAGGATGGAAACTAGAAGTAGGGTAGGGATAAAAAAGTTATATTAAAAAAGTAAATTGTTTTTTCTTTCACAAGGATGGAAGCCTAGAAAATGCCATTGAAATATTTATCCTCTTTGCTTTGTCTTTGGCAGGAAATCTACTACTCTCGGAAGGATATTAAGCATAGCCAAAGAAAGATGTGGTATATTACTACTTTTGTAAGTCACTTATAACTTTTTCAATATGTAGGTTCATAATATATTGTAGAATTGTAAATGACATGTTTTTTTTAAGTGAGTCAGAGACGATGTAGAAAGATATCTCTGTTGGGGCTATCTTATTGATTAAGATATTTCTAAAGTAGTGAAATTGTCAGACTTAATTAGGACGGATGCATCAGATTCATTCACTGCACGTAGTATCAAATTAAAATGATTCAGAATTTTAATTTTCAAATTCTATATTTAAAGGGCAATCCAACCCTTGTAATAAGTTGATTTGTATGAAAGCATAAAAATAACAGAAACGGAATGGAAAAGGTTTGAAATGAATCGGACCAATAGTAAGGAAGTTATGAATGTTTGAAATATGAGATCACTAAGTCTATGCGAATTTCAAATTAGTAGTTTGGTCAGTAGATTTTGACTTAGGACGTGGATAACTCTCCCATTTGCTGTGTAAAAAAATATCATTAATTTCTATTTTTCTTGTAAGTCACTTCTCCCTTGAGGCGCTACTCAAAATATATTATAGATAACATTTTATTATGGGTCTTCTAAAGAAATAGACCCTCCTGAGCCATGAATTTATGAACAATTTAAATTTTAGTCATTTTATATGTTGGAACTTGGAACAGATGGAAAAGTAGTCTGGCGCTACATCACATTGACATTACCGCTTCAGCCAATTTGAAGTGCCCATAGGTATAGTGATTACAACTTTCCAAAATTCATAACTTTCTTATATTTTGTCAGACTTTGAAACTTTCATCACTTTGCTTCTCTGATCTTTCTGCTCTCTTTTAAAGTAGTTGTTTATTTGGGTTAGCTTTCCTTTTAATGTGATGGAGAGATATTGCATTATTTATACTTTGTAATACCTTTTAGTATTCGTAGTTTTTTCGTACATCATGAAACAGCAGATTTCATTTTATGTATTTATTCTCTCCAACCAAATAGATCAAAGGAATGATGATTGATGATGCTGTAGCACAGCTTGAACATGTGAATAAGAAAGCAGCGAAGATAGCAAGAGAGGTATATATTACATGTTTATAAACCTCCCATTTCCCCCTTCCCTTTCTTTCTTTTTTTGTCTGTATATCTGTTCCTTTGTAATGTATCACTCTCTTTCTATATAGAAGTGTTGTGGTTCAGTAGTTCATGCATGTATTGTATTCAAGATGTGGAGGGTTCACTTCAAATATCAGCCTGGCAGTAAAGTACTTTTTTATAAGGTTATTAACTCTATATATGCAACAAAAGTAATTTCCCTTTGCCATATTGTATTCATCATGGGATAGATATACCAAAGGCTTTCAAGATTATTTAACTGTTTCTAGTGCAAGATTTTTCATACTGGTGTTGAAAGGGTTGTTATGGAGCTAATCAAGAATGAAAATGGGTAATTTTGCAAAGCCATTGTGTTGCACAAAGCACTCCTTTTGTCAATAGATGCCAATTGTTTTGTGCAAAATTGCTCGTGTGGCAAACTAGTGATCATGCAGAGAGGCAAAGAAAGCAACCCAAGTGTTGATACACTTGCTACTCTTTGCCCAAGTGCAGTAAATGGGTTCCTGGTTGAATAATGTCTCTTGGATCCTTTTAGAATCGTACAAGATATCCCTTTGAAAGCTTGACAAATTATATGAAAGTGAATGTGCAAAATTGAGTATTATATATTCATGTTCACTATGTTAGTGATAATTTCACAGGATTTTTTGGGGTTTCTGACATCAAATATAATTTTCCCCATGTTCAGGTCCTTCTGGAAGCCCAAGAAGAAGCAGTGAAAAACCACAATGTTGAATTCAAGTCCAATCTACATATAGGTGAGTTTATGAGCAATATCACATCAGAATTAATAGGAAATCTCTGGTTTAACGTCAGTTACTTTCTTTCAATATTCATGAAAATTGTGTGATCTGAATGAAGCGATAGATGCAATGTGCTTACATGATGTGTAAATTGTGTGGACGGTTATTATTTTCGGGTAATTGGCTAGAGGAGGCTAGTCATGCTGATATGCATTCATCTCCACAGGATGGTGACCTCGACTGTACTTATGAATGAACTGGCTAAAGACAGTGGGTGAAATTCCTTAGTTTGTAGACAGTTATATGTCAGCTAGCATGTAGTTGGATTTTTGTATTTCAAAATATATTATTAATGTAATAGTTGGATTCTGTTGGATTTTATTTTAATTTTTGTTATTTTCACTTAAGTTCAATTTCCTTCTTTTTCTTCTCAGCGGAAGCACTAGTGGGGAAGGGTAAATACCAGCATGCTATCAGATTCCATGCTAAGGGTAGGGCCAGTATGTTGGACCTGGTCTACTGCCATCTAAACATCAAACTCCAGGAAGGACCACCACCAGAGAAACCCAAGTTCACCGGCTATGATCAAGCCAAGCACTACATACAGTCTAAAAGGAACCGGACTATTATTGCAGGACTTTGAGTTTCTTGTATGTAAGACTTTGAGGGTTCAGTGACACATTTAATATCAAAATGTTCTGAAAAATGTGGGCTTTCCAGGAAACACAAAGACTCAACTCCACCCAACGCCCCCATTGAAGTCAATGGCTAGTGAAACATAGACTTAAGGCCCAAGTGATCAGTGACACATAAACCACCTTTTCTCAAATTGGAGTTACGTCTTTGTGTCACTGACCAATTGACTTGGCCTTCTGCTATATATTCATCAAAATCCAGGAATTAGGACATCCACCAGAGAAACCAAAAATTACAGACTATGATCAAGCAAGGCACTACTTATAGTCTAAAAAGAACAGGACTGATATGGCGGGAATCTGAGCCCCTAGTATGCTGGACCTGGTCTATTCATCAAATTCAAGAAATATCAATATTTATCTGTTATGATGAAGCAAAGCACTACCTGGATTCCAAAATGAATATGATTATTATTGCAGGACTCTGAACCAAGACAATCACTCATGATACTTTGTATATTATTATGATATAGCAGACCATTGAACTCTGAACAAGGCATTTCCTCAGGTGCTTGGTATTACATGTACAGTATTGTGTTAAATGAAGATCATATAGAACAAATATTTTGCGGGACTCTGAAATGGGATATTCTCTAACCCTCATTGTATTTTTTTTTTGGTGTGTGTTTTGAAAAATTCATAATTGGACCGCCATTGCTGGGCTCTTCCTGAGGCTTATGATATTGCTTTTCTATATTTAGTGATATCTATATTGATGTTGTAACAAAAAAGGAAATATCTTGCTCAAAATTAACAGAGTCAAAATCTCTGGTAATTAAGAAGCCTGGGAATATTTGAGGGTGGCAAATCAGAAGAGAGGCTTGGTTGAAACAAGCTTGGTTGAAACAAGCTGGTTTGATAAAGGCAGATTACAAAGTAAACATAGTTTTGAAAGGCCATTTGAGATTAATATGCTCCTTAAATAGCCCTCTTCTCTTTAATATGGACTTGCCCCTTAATGGCACCATAAATTACAAGTGATGCAGTCCTAAGAAATTATATCTCTTTCATTGTAAGATGTAGCTTACAACATGGTGACTGTACACATCCGTCTGATACTAATGCTAATCAATAAAATGAATTGAAACATTGAAGACATCAAGCATGAAATGTGTATGAATTCAAACTCAGTTGTGAATTAAAGCGTATTCTTAAAAGTAATACAAAGTTTTGGTATCAAGTCATGAATTTGGTTCAAATTAACATATTGGAAGCATGTGTGATCCTACAATATTCAGTGATAGTTATCGTGGTTGAAATCAAGTCTTAAGTTTTGAAATTGTAAATAATAAACTCTTTATGTTGTATAGCTCCCTCTCAAGGTCAATATATTAATTAAGATATATAACAATGTTACTTGACAAAAATCAACTGATTTGCTATTCCCGTTTGAAAATTATAGATCACAACTACATATTCTGAGATTTTCATGGTCGCAGCTACCATTGTATGGCCGTAGGCGCTATTTGAAATTTATATATTTTTATATTCCATTTTTCTCGAAAGCAGAAGTGTTTTAGGGGCTAAATTTTGTATTGCTTATCCACAGGGGCATCCAAATATATCAAATTATAAAGAATCACTATCCATCCAATTTTCAAAATTTCCCAAAACTTAGTATTACCTTTAAAAGCACCGTTACAAAAGAAAACTAAACATCAACAAATCACAACATATCAGTACTCATTCCCACACAATGCAAAGAATGCATTGATCTCATCTTCACACCAAGACCCAAACATTGTAATCATGACACGTGGACAAGAGAGGTGGGAATTTATGTACAAAATTTATGAAGCATACATGATCATATATACAATATCTATACAGAGCATTTGAATAAAAGCTACGCCTCACTATGATGGGAAATGATAGTTTGCCATGTCCCTAGCAGCTAGATGAGTGCCATCAAATCAATGCTCAACAAATGTACATTGCTAGATACATGTGTAAACCCTTCAGTTGCTATCTTGTCTACATTCATCACAATCATATCTTTTATATCCACTATCTTATTTCTTGATCTTTTCATTAAAAACTTTAAGTTAAATGCATTCATAGATCTTGTTAGGCAAAATTATTAATCAATTGATGTCTTAAGATAAGTAATCTATGGAATGCTCGAGTGTTGCACAAACCTGGTGCTAAGTCAGGATAATAATAATTGAGCTCCAGACGTGAGTGCTTTACAAGAACCGACTACTATAAGTTTTTCCGCCCAATTTTGTCAACCTTGCATCCGATTCAACGATGCGATCATTCAATTTCATGATCACCGAGATCAACAGTTAAAAAGCTAATCATTTCATTCACAATTTAATTGTATAAGCATGCGATTTCATGATTTTCTCACATAAACGTGTAAAAAGCCTGTTCAAATTGAAAATGCATGTAAATGCATTCAACTTCGCACATGCACTGCCCTGATGAACGTTAAGGTATTCAAATTCATGAATAAGCAAGCATTTATAGCATTGGGCAGTCTTTTTTTTTCACTGTTTGTTCTTTGCAATCTAAATCTGTTTGAATAAATTATGCAAACTTTATGTACCTTGAAATTTGACCTATTATTGAAATATCTCGTGTGTATCTAACCCCAAACATGACATAAAGCACGATCTGTTAAAAAAAAGTATACATAATACACTTAACAAGTACAAAAATAGGGCAGGAAAACCTATATTAATGTCAGAGATGAATGGAATATTCAAGTCCAAATTATTCTTGCCTACAACTTTTATTTCTTCCTAACCAGGCATTTTTTCCTCAATTTTTGTCACAAGTTTCTAATGACAGTATCTTTCTCTTGTCACAGTAGGGCTTGTACATAATCTGGGGTTAAGAAGAAAATACATTACATGAGCCTTTGCATCATGAAGATACAGCTGATTAATGCGTCAGTCATCAAATCACAATCTATCTCTTTGCATGATAAATTCAAATTACAGGAAATATATGCAACCTTAAAGATAAAAACCAGTTATGGTCATGCGATCGTATTGTAAAACAAACGTGGAATCAATCAGAAAAGGTTGATCATCTAGCATATAACGTCCCTATTTTCACGAAGTGATGGTAGTGAGGAAAATCGTCACGCAAATTGAATGCGTGACACGAACATTATATCTATCAGGTCCAAATAGATATAATAATTTACCAAATATATCAATTAGTAGGCGGTTTCTCGGCAAAATTTGTATGATCACGTATTAGACAAAACATATTCTTTCACATGATTGGTAATAAGAGCTTCCATTTCATTTTTTGAGAGGGGGGCATTTCCAAAACTGGTCTTTACCTTTAAACTCATGAAACTGAACAAGATGAGAGAGACTGCCTCTCTGATATGCCTTTGTCTGCATTCAGTTCATTTTACTTAATGTTCAGGATACATTGTATTTCAGAAAGATAATAGCTATACATTTGGTAGACAAAACATATGATATCATGACCTCAATCCTCTGATCCCAAAACCTCAAAATCTTATCATTCTGTTCCTCTATGGTGATACATGTACATGAAATTATACCCAGGTTAAGGTCAATTTTCTCAAATGGTACTTCAGATATCTTTAAAAAAAATCAAAGCCAGAAACACAGAATGTTATGGAATTGATCTTTATGATCTTTGACCCCAATATATAATAAGTTTGTTTTCCTACGGTGAAGTTCACATCTCAATTATTTCTTAAAGTAATGTGATAACGAGAAAGCGGGATCAAACATAATGTCTCCGGCACGACCTTCAGTGGGCGGCGGTATAATGATACAATTGTTCTCTAATAACAGTGGAATCTAAATAACAAACTCCTTGGGTCCAAGTCAAATTTTTATAAAGCATTCTTGAATTCTTGATCTATTGGAGGGTGGAGAGGAAACAACAGTAAACAAAGAAGTAGGAACATTCCTTACTTGTTATAGTTACAGAGTTCTTTATAATGACGATCCACTGTATTGGATTACAGGACCCTGTCTTACAAAGAGTTGATATCAATCGCAACTATGTACATAAGCGATAGGAGACTGCAAACTTGCGATAGATTTGGATCAATCGAAACTCTTAGTAAGACGGGGCCCAGGTGTACTTGATGCCAAAAATATTTTTCAGAATGTCCAATAACGATTTTTGTATGTGGACCCTAATTGACTTTTAGGCATGCAGGGGAAAATAACCCACGTTAGATTTCAAAAAGCTAAAGTCCTATGAACTAAAGTCTATCTCCTGTCTGTGCAGGCAGCTCATGATTTCCATAGCTTGAGGAGACCATCTTCGCTGTATGTGGCTAGAAGATTGTTGTGAGGGTGGGGTACAATGCCTATCACATCCTTCTCATGGACCTGGAGGGGGGGGGGGGGGGGAAGGAATAAAAACAACATAAATACAACAGTTTTAAACAAGAGATATGTCAAACAGACAATGAGTATGTGATACCAAGCAAAAGCGTAATCACTAATGCAATATTCTTGTGAATTCTCTCAGTTGTCATGTTGTACAAATTCAAACCTAACAAACTATCAACTTTAATACACAATTCATGTCAGGGGTCTTGTTAATTATTTTTGAAGGAGGTAATTTGAATTTTATAGGAGGTACCAACACTGCGAGGGAGCGAAGCGACCGAGGGGGGGGAGGGTGTGGGAGGGGGTGTCCCCCCTCCCACGGTAGGGACCTTTTGGGATTTTCCACTCGTGCAATCGTGCAATCGTGCAATCTGGTGCATACCTAAGAAGAAAATTTGTAGTTATCTTTCCTACCTTGTATTACACATATATTGTAATAAACACACATATTGTTCATGTTTAATATTACATGAACAATCATAACTCATAAGAAAAGTTATTAAGTTGATAATTATTTATCACTTTGTACCATTACTTTGTAATTTTTAATTAAACTGAGATGATGCACCATACTCAATCTTTCTACATCATGATTTGTTGAATACATGTACAGTATTTAAATAATGGGCAGCAGACGCTAGATTTTGATTTTTTTTTTACTTGTGACTTTTATTTGGCTCCCCATATATGAATTCTCATTTAATTATTTTTTTTTGACATGAAATTATTGAATACATTTAAGAATTTACTTCAGTTCCTGTTCATTTTATAATGTTATATCACTGTTTTTCCTGACAAAGTGAAGACACTGTATATTTGTTTATTCAACTTTTTTAAGGAAATAAATGAAGTTAGTTTTGAATATTCGCGGAGCGCGAGCCTGCATATATCATGCGAGCTAGCTGCGGGGGTCCGCCGGGGACGGCCGTGGCCGGCCTAAACTCAGCCGAGTTTTAAAACTCTGTTGCCGATTTGCGCATCTCAGAATCTAAAGTACGTTGTCTCTAGACATTGCACGCACGTGTATAGGCCCCGGTTTCCGTGATCTTCAAATATCAAATCGGCAACGGATAGTTTGGTTACAGCGAGATAGCTTCAGTTTTGTTATGATCAGTGTGTATATATTTTGTGCAGTGCATCGTCTTCTCGCGTGCACATCGGGATCGCAATGGGGTAGGCACGGGCGGGCTTGGCCGCCGCGCTGTGGGGGAAGAACTGCGATGTAACGTTAGATAGATAGGTCTAGGTAAGTACGGACGACGTCGCGTTCGTGATCGTAAGGGATTTCGTTGACTGCGGCCGTGTATGTGCGGCACTAATTATATCTTGGACGAAATTAAGGAAATTTTGGATTAGCATTGATTTAGATCTACTTTCTGTGATTTTTGCAAGGTTTATTATAGGAATTATAGCCGGTAAGAAACGAGTGAATAGGCGGCAAGTTTTACCGGTTACCGGCTTTAAACGACAGCCCTGCATGTGTATTACACAGTTACAAGAATATTACAAGTTTACACCATTTGCAGACCTCCCAACATTACAACATTCAAATTTCAAAATTCCTATTATTTTGTGCGACTCAGCATAATTTGTGGCACCTTCCTCTCTTCCCCTTCCTCTTTCTCCCCCCCCCCTTTTCCCCCCTCCTCTCTCTCTCTCTCTCTCTCTCTCTCTAGTAAAAGATATATCTTACGGTGAGTGTCCTTTCTAGTTTTCCAGTAATAAAAAATAAAGCAGAAAGGTTGGGAGGTCTGCATTTGCTTGTTAACATTGTTCTCATTAAAATCATTTTGTCCTGGACTCCCCAATGATTTGTGCCTACTATTCTTTTCACTGAGCAGAAGAGACACCTCCCCTCCTCTCTCTCTCTCTCTCTCTCTTTCCCCTCCTCTTCTCTCTCTCTCTCTCTATCTCTAGTAAAAGATATATCTTACGGTGAGTGTCCTTTCTAGTTTTCCAGTAATAAAAAATAAAGCAGAAAGGTTGGGAGGTCTGCATTTGCTTGTTAACATTGTTCTCATTAAAATCATTTTGTCCTGGACTCCCCAATGATTTGTGCCTACTATTCTTTTCACTGAGCAGAAGAGACACCTCCCCTCCTCTCTCTCTCTTTCCCCTCCTCTTCTCTCTCTCTCTCTCCCCCCCCCCCCCCCCCCCCCTCTCTCTCTCTCTCTCTCTCTCTCTCTCTCTCTCTCTCTCTCTAGTAAAAGATATATCTTACAGTGAGTGTCCTTTCTAGTTTTCCAGTTGATGTAGAGAAGCAGTAGAGCACCAAATCCTCTCCTACGCAGTAGATCCATTCCCCTCTCGGTGATAAGCAACTACATGTGAAATCTCCTCCCTCCCGCTTACCAGAGCTGAAACTCCGAACAATCTAGTACACAAAAGATGGATCACAAATATTAAATTTGGAGACTATTTTTCTTTAAAATTTGTCTTGGATAAAATGAGAATTGTCATTTTCTATCCAATGCGACCTAACGAAAATTGGGTATAACAACTCAAACAGCATATATAGGAGCTGGAAACTTGAGTTTTTGAGAAAATATATCACCACTAGATGGCTAGATTTTGTCCGTAGATTAATTGATCAGAATTTTTATACAGAATAATTTCTCTTGTTACAGAATGTCAGGTACAAGTATTACAGTTGTCACCCATAATAGGCACAACAAGTTATTTTTATATTGGGTAAGTGGAAATGTTTGTGGCTTACTCGTCATAAATTTCAAATATGCAAAAATGTTGCGAACTGAACATACTACAAATTTTTACATATGTTTCACATACCTCATGAATTTCATGGGGTTCAAATTCATGAATCTTCATGCCTCAATATATTTGGATCACAATTGACAAAACTATTGTTGCCATGGTAATGGCCATCTCACAAAAGTTTCTAGTTTTACATACAAATACTGCTCCTCTGTGACAAATTGCATATATGCAAATTTTGGCAAAAACCTATATACTAGCTTACGGACAACCAGATATTCATACCTGTCCTTGCATGTTCATGATAACGACAGTGTTGCTACGGTTACAGACAACAAACTGTTCTGCATTCTTGGGATACGGCATAACAGAGTTGACTGTGATGTCAGTAGCTGATGAGCCTCCCAGTGATTTGAAGGTACTGATGCATTCTGTAGTCTTGATGTTCCAGACCTGGTAGAATTCAATACAATATGATTGATTGAGATGGATTCATTTTACAGCAAAACTCTAAAGGGTATTCAATGCAGAGATTAACCTGATTAGTGGAAAAGTCCATAGTATGCGGTCATTTGGTATCCCTTACCCGACAGTTCTTAAAGGGGAATCCAACCTGAACTGATAACTACTCTCAAAGAAAGCCGACATATCAGATAAGCAGACTGATAAAAGTTTGAATTAAATCAGACAAAGAGTCATTTAAAAGTTGTACCTAATCACTATACGTACGGGCACTTCAAATTGGCTGAATGGGTAATGTCACTGTGACGAAGTGCTGGACTATTTTCCCAATTGTTTAAACACCCAAAATGGTAAAGGTGTCAATTTTTTCAATCAGACAAAAAGTCATTTAAAAGTTGTACCTAATCACTATACGTACGGGCACTTCAAATTGGCTGAATGGGTAATGTCACTGTGACGAAGTGCTGGACTATTTTCCCAATTGTTTAAACACCCAAAATGGTAAAGGTGTCAATTTTTTCAATATGAATTATCCAGGAGGGTCTATTTTTTTTTTAAAGATATATAATATTATGCTATTCACACTATATTTTGAGTGGTGCATCAAGAGAGGAGGCACTTACGAGAAAAAGATAAATTAATTATATTTTTGTACACAACAAGCGGCACTACATCCTGACTTATGGATCCTGCTGAGTATCGTCGTAGAAGTAGAAGTAGAAGAGTTGTCCCATGACTACGTCACAATCCACTAACTTGTAATATACATTATATACCTCACTAAAGAAATCCAGCCATCTGATTGGTCGAAATTGCAGTCATGGTTCTAGCCATTCCCGTAAATAAACAAAAAATGCCAAACCCATGTGATAGTTCGAGGGTTGATCGGTAAAATCTCGGCAAAATTCCAGTTACCGGGAAAATAGTTCAGTCTTGCTGAAAAACTGGTTTGAGCAAGCGCAGAAACCATACATTGAGTGTGCGAATCAGTGGTCGCTAAACAGCAAGAATACCAAAAGGGTACGTGAATTAGTCTTATTATTAGCCGTAGATCTAGGTCTAGATATAGATTGTAATTTTATTGTTTGCGATAACGGTGATACAGGTATTTAAGATTGTATAATGCAAGTATTTGAATTGACTTGGTGGATGAAAAGTTGAATTCTACGCCGTTTTATGCATCATTGCAGCGCTGAATTTGGTGTGTTTGTCGCTAATTTCTGACAAATTTAGATAGCTTTCCTGATGGTATTTCATGCAAAATTTCTGTTATATTGATAAGCACTGATTCTTGTCCTTATATTTGACCTGTTTCTTGTCTGTTATAGTCATTTAATAGATGAATTACTTGAATTCTGAGCACATTTCAGTAACACAAAAAATCCAGCCCGTTCATAGTCCCACACACGTATTTGTATGTACATTGTGCCCTTACGTGCTTAGTCTGCTGTCTCAATAGCATAAACAAACTTGATTACCATGATTGGTAAGTCGCACATGTATTCTATGATCCTTTTTGGTTTATAAAAGTATTAATGACTGCTTTAATTTTCGAGATATAGTTGTTTCTCAAATCAGTCATTAATACTATACTATTAAAATTTAACAAAATGTGTTAAAAGAACTGTTTTAAAATGATTTCTTTTTGTTGCAGCTGGACTATACCTTGATGGTACCATCTGATGAAGCACTGAGAGCAAGATGACCATCAGGAGCAAAGACGGCTTCATTCACAAATGATGTGTGTCCTCGGAACTCTTTCAATGTCTTGCCAGATTTCAATCCATGTATCCTGTATCACACACACACACCGAGAGAAAACATGTAAGAAGTGTGAGTAACTGTGTGTGCAGACACTATACCCAAATCTAATATACAAACATTTAAACAAAAGGGCGTTTCTGTATTTGTTGTACGGGACATTAAGACGTTTTTCTAGACTATGAGGCAAACAAATCAGCAGTGAAGATTGGTTTAATGGTATTATAGTAAAGTACTGCCAAGGGGCCCTATGAAGATATGACAAATAACTATAAATAAGCCTTTCTCAGGAAGATAGAGCTGAAATTATCTTATGTCGTACGAGACACACACACAAAAATTATTTTCTTGAAATTCAAGTTGATGCACAAAAAAAATATTAATGAAAAAGTACATCATAGACAGTTTAGCTGTCAAAGAAGAATTTAATTCACCTTTCACACTAAAAAGTTCTTTAATAAAAAAACATGCACAAGATTAACATCTTCAGGACGATATGTCGAACAGAAATGATATTTGAAATTGATCTTTTTAAGATAGTATACCGGCACTGAAATACAAACCTACATAGAAGGATAGCATTGGTGATTGGTCCCAATTGGAAAGAGACTAACCTTAGAGATTGATCAAATGAAGAGCTGAGTATCTGAGTGGCATCTTTGGAGAACTTGACAGAAGTGACTCCCTTGCTGTGAGCATTCTCAAATCTTCTCAAACACTGCCCTGTCTGAACTTTCCAAACCTAATACAAATTTTTAAAAATTCAAAAAAAAATGCTCGCTCTCAAACACTGTACTGTCTTAACTTTTCAAACGTAACATAACAAGGAAGAATATTTTAAAATGAAATAAAGATAAATGGCCATGAGTGTAATTCAGATCTCTATTGGATCAGTGATTTTAAAAGAATACAAAATAACGGCAGAAGTTCAATCTTCTGAACCTTCTGAAATTGTAGTCAGCAGGGCGGTGTTCCGCATGTCGCTAACTTGTATGGCAGGTAATGCATGCTAGAGTGTGTTTCTGAAATTATCAACTGATGTAGCTATTACGGACTGCTGGTCGAGGGCATTCCATGCTCGTCCAGTTCTTGGAAAAAAGGAGTATTTGTATACGTCCTTTCTGGCAAAGGGGATTTCTATTGAGTGTTGGTGGTTTCTTCTTAACCTTGACCCTGTTGATACTTGTATGTAGTCCTCTTGCTTTAGGCCCACCTTTCCCTTGTAGATTTTGTACAGCATAACCAAACGACTCTTTTCCCTCCTGCGTTCGAGTGATTCCCATTCAAGGCAGGTCTGCATTTGTGTGACACTGCTGTCCCTTTGGTAGTTCCCTGTTACGAAGCGTGCTGCCCTCCTTTGAACTGCATCCAGTTTATTAATCTGCCCTATCCTGTATGGGTCCCAGGCACAGCTTGCGTATTCTAACACTGGTCTCACTAGGGTCTTGTATGCGAGGGCTTTCACATTCCCTGGGCAAAACCATAGATTTCTCCTGAGGAATCCTAACGTGCGGTTGGCTTTCATGGCTGTGTTGTCAACATGGTTCGCCCATGTCAGTTTACTGTCTATTTCTACTCCCAGGTAAGGATGAGAATTTGTCTGTTGTAAGTATTGTCCACAGAAGATATAATCCCTTGTCAGAGGTTTTTTCTTGTTCGAGATGATCATCACTGAACACTTGGAATTGCATTGGAAAAATGGTAATGTCTGTGAATAAATATCTACATTATTGCATCAAAAGTTTAAGATTACACTATGACTAAGTTCAGTTTTCATCATGAACTGCTCAATTGACCGAAATCCCACAGAGACTTCATTCCAAATTGTGAAAATAGGACCCCAAACCAAAAATAAACCCAGCACATTCAAATATGACATTGGCAATGACAAGCCTGTCATCAACCTACCTTGATCTTACCATCCTGACCCCCTGTAGCTACCATTTCGCTGTCCCGACTGAAGCACATACATAGCACAGCATCATCCATCAGCATGAACGAATCCTGGGAGCAGCAAAGGATATAGACTTTCTCATGAGCACCAAAGAAACAATTCTTTGATATTTAAATACATCAAAACACACAAACACATTGTAATATAATGCATCAAAAGAAAATGACCTTGTAATGTTAAGAAATCTCCATATTAGAGTAAACTAAGAAAGAAATATCATTAAAATTTTTTCATTCTCCAGAAACATGTAAAACACAGCATAGTTCAAGTGGTGCAGCCAGCAATAGGAAAGCAACAATGAGTCAACTGTCACAATCTCCCATAAATCACACAGATATAACATCAGTTATGAGACTGACATATGTGCAATTTAAATTCTTATATCAATTTTTTTGTCAGCATAAACATTCTTCTAGAACCCATTTTCCTTTTCTTTTTTCACAAATACTTACTCTTCAGAGTTAACATAAAGAAGTTGAGAATGCAGATGCAAGCAAAGAAATTTAAATTCACTGAAAACTGCAAACCAAGCTTAACTTGATCCAGAGGCTGTGAAAAATGTGTGTATTACTAAAAAGCACAATTTTATCCACTAGGGCCAGACCTCTCCTCTGGAGTTCAAAAACTGTATTCTTTAATCACAAAAGTGCTATTTTACTGACAAAAATTGTATTACAAAAAAACAAAACATGGATCAATGCCTTTTACAGTTTCTACATGGAGGAAGAATTTTTTTTAATGGATCATTGGTTGAATACGCATGATTTCGTCATGACTGGTGTGTTTGATGAACCAATGAACATCCCCAAATTGCTGATGTGAGATGCTTGTAGAATACTTCACAGGACAGAATGGGCATTTCGCCATTGAAAACGGCACACACACACATCTTCTTTTTTTTTTTTGGGGGGGGGGGGGGAATCATATTTTATTGAGGAAAATCATACTGTCATATTTACTTCCAAAAATCGTACTGGTTGGCAGGTGTAGGGCAAGTCCATGCAATGTATTAGTGTATGAAAAATGTCTTTTTTTTCATGTATTTCATCAAAACATGAAGAATCTCTTTGACATTATTATGGAATAATGGTGCTTTAGTATCACTACCATTAGTTATAGGGGAATAACACCATGACCTTACCTCTGCCTGGTACTTGAGATCCTTCCTGATCTTTCCTGTCTGAAAGTTCCATACCTCAACGAATCCGTCCACACTACCGGTCACTAGGAACTGACCATCCGGAGAGAAAGCTGCACATTCCACATGGGACTTCTGACCAAACTGTAAGGATGAAACATACATTAGGATGTACATATCAAAGTACAGTGAAGCCACTAGGGCTGGAAATTTTGGGTATCTTTTTAATATGGGTACCCGCTCAAATTTTGGGCAGGAACCAAGGTATCCGAAAGTGATACATAAAAAATGAAATTGCTAGATCTACATCTGTTATTAGATCTAAATTTTCCTATAAACATGTGTAAAGGGATAGTTGAGTTCTTGTTTCAGACCGCAAATGCTTTCAAAGTGCATGGTTATTGCTCTTATTCTTTTTTATGACATTTCTAGTGCTCTTTTAGGACCTAAAAGTGCTACAAAGGTCATTTTAGACCCCAAAATGTGTGAAATTTATCCAATACATACATGCCAACATTTGAAAATCAGAAATCTGTACAAATTATGCTATTTTAAAAAAAAAGAGGAACAATCCTAACTCTCCTATTCAATACTACAGACAAATTTGTACAGGAAGAGGAACACCTGCATTAAAATGATAATTATCTTCTCCCAAAAAGAGGAATGTTCCTCTTTAATCTGAACAGTTGGCATGTATGCCAATATGATCATACCAATTCAGCTGCACTTTAAAAAAAAAATATGGTGACCGTTAATTAATTAATTAATAAATAATAACAATACACGAACCAGCTGGTTGAGCGTATCATAACCAACACGAAAAAGCCAACAAAAAGCCAACGACTGCATTGGCTGGGATAAAACATATAAGGCGCTATCTCGTTTTTTCAAAGGCTGGTTTTTCAAATTATTGAATATTTGTGGGGCACCACAAATATTAGAAATCGTTATATATATATATATATATAGATATTTCAGCCGTCTCTGAACCAATTTCGATCAAACAAAGATGATTTTGTCATTTAAATTAGGCTTGAGTCGGTACGGTCGATCACACCGGGACCCGACCGTTGCCGTCGGGTCCCGGTTTCGTTTTTTGAGAACCGACGCTCCGAAAAAAATAACGAAATATGAAAGAAATTGCAGTTTTGCACACCACTAAAATCAATCCACCTTAAAACTTATGTATTTAATGGTTACCATAATCATATTCTAGCTCATCCTGAATCAATCCGAACTGCTGATAAGTGATATAAATATGGGTTGCAAGGCAGTTCGCCCGGCCCATGGGGTTGTTGTTGCCAGCTGCTAGCTAGCTACTGTACTGGCCGGGTCTCTCGGCAGGATTAATAAATCAGGTTGAAAGAAACATTAACATGTTTGAATAATAAAACGGCTTTCTAAAAAGTACTTCTTTACAACATACCGACCGAATAATTTTTAAAAGACAAAAATATATATTTTTTCTTTGATTTTGAACACCGCATGCTTCTTTTAAAAGCTGAAAATTACTTGGTAATCACAAGAAGTTTCGATACGTTGCAAGGCAAGTTCAGACTAGTCTCGGAAAAATGCGCAGTGCTCCTCGTTAGCTGTAATGCGTGCCAGAACGAACCCAAACAAAGACGTGATCGTAACGAGAAAAAAATCATTAAAAACTACGAGAGCACAATTGGAAAGACAACTACTCAAAATGATCATAAGCAGATACATAACTTGGAGGAAGAAAACAATAGTTGTCCAAGAAAAGACACATAAATAGTGATATTTAAGGAGTTACTATAGGTACAATCATTATCGGAAGGGCCTGCTGCAATATCCGAATTACACGTGTTTAAATTGAACACGAGGCTATACGAGGCAAATACCGTCCTCTACGGTAAAAAGCAGTATAACAAAGGATTCGAGTATTTGCAGCAGGCTTCTTGCGATAAAAATGTACCCAGTTACTCCTCGATTATCACAATTTCTGTGACATTTCTTAAGCGATTATTGAATTCTTTGTCCAAGTTATCTATCTGATTATGGTAATTTTGAGCAGTAGTTGTCTTTCCAATTGTGCTCTCGTAGTTTTTAATGATTTTTTTTCTCGTTACGATCACGTCTTTGTTTGGGTTCGTTCTGGCACGCATTACAGCTATTTACGAGGAGCACTGCGCATTTTTCTGAGACTAGTCTGAACTTGCCTTGCAACGGCTATCCGTATCGAAACTCTTGATTACCAAGTAATTTTCAGTTTAAAAAAAAAAAGCATGCGATGTTTAAAATAAGAGATAAATATTTTGTCTTTAAAATATTGTATGATCGGTATATTGTACAGAAGAAATTTTTAGAAAGCCGTTTTTATTATTATAACATTCATATTTTTTGACCAGATTTATTCAACCTGCATAAATCAAAATGGCGGCTCGAATGTTGTCTTTCCATTTCTGCCCCAGTTTTTTTACTTTTAGAGGCACGAAAATGGCACTAAACATCGCCAATCATGGATGTAAATAATGTCAAATGGAATAATATACCGATCTGAGCCGAGGTATGCATGTGTTTATTAATTTGATTGATAAAAAAGGTCACTTTTAAGGGACATACTGATGATATGCGCTTTTTATAGAGGCAAGTGACAAATCCTGCGAGCTGATTTCGGGACACCGGGTCCCGATCGGTACAAGGCCGTCGGGACCCGGTTTATGAAAATCCCGACATGACTCAGGCCTAATTTAAATGGTATGTTCTTTCTAATGTAACACTCAGTTTTCATTATCTCATAAAAAAAAAAATGTTGGTGTAGGTCCAGAGCTGCCAACCTCAACTGAACAAAAATCTTATTATTTTCCCACAAAAATCCTATTTTGAAAATAAAAATCCTATTTTTCATCGATAAGTACGTTCTCACTGCGAAAATGCATTTTTTAAATTTTTATTAATTAATTAATTTTTTTTTTTTTTGGGGGGGGGGGTTCCAATTTGCATAAGTTCCTACATACAGGAAGAAATTTTTCAATGGACCAATGGTTGAATATGCATGATTTCATCATGACTGATGTGTTCGATGAGCCAATGAACATCCCCAAATTGCTGATGTGAGATGATTGTAGGATACTTTACAGGAGAGAATGGGCTATTTGCCATTGAAAATGGCACACGAACACACACACAAAAATAATATACATGTATATTTATTTTTAAAACAAATTAAAAAAATAAATTAAATAAAATCATATTTTTTGAGGAAAAATCGTACTGTTGTATTTACCGGTACTTCTAAAAATCATACAAAATACAATAAAATCGTACTGGTTGGCAGCTCTGTAGGTCCCTCTGCAACAAAACTCAACTATCCCTTTAAATTTGACTATTTATAGCAGCGAAGATGGAGATGATTATACAGTAGGGCTTGGAGTAAAAACCGGGTACCCCAATCCTGCCCAAGAGTCACTGTGACATTCAACTCCAAAAGTGTAGTAAGTTGATAATGTGATGCCTACCTTGATGGTCTTGCTGAGTTGTGTTGGATACTTCTCCTCTTCCTCATCCCTGACGGCTGCCTTACCCTTGAACAAATCTATGGTCACGCCTGGAGGTAACAGACCCTGGTGTTGCTGCCATTTAAGAGACTGTCCAAGCAAGGCTAGCAGGCGTGATGGGGGCACCACGCTGACCTCCCCAGAGAGGGCCTGGGCGATGGCTGCTCGTCTCCTTTCCTTGCTGCTCCCGTCAGGGTACGCCTATATATGGGTACAAAATACCAGTCAAACATTGCCTTCTCACATATACTCTTCTTTATTTCTTGCATTTTGTAATCCTAGACTGCAACATCGAAGAATTTTGTGTTCCCTTTATATTGTACGAGTGACACAATTTGACAGTGGCTGTCAGTGGCAGCCCACTGTTTGTTCCACTAATATCAACAAGAGTGAGTAAGGAGTTGTTCTTTTTTAAACATATATGAAAGAGCTAGAATAAACATCATCCTAAAAGGGACCTGGTAACATTGTTCAGATGAGAGAAAGTAGTGCTAAGGTAGTGACTTCAATGCTTGATGTACAATTAAAGATAATCTGAAAGTTCTTAGTGAAAACAGACCATCATTAATGATACAAATTGGGGAAAACTTATCTGATCAATTCCTTAATTCTCCCAACTATATTATTACAATTTAATTACATTTTAGTTCAGTATAGTTTGTCACAAAGCAATGTCTTGGCTCTATATACCATTCCAGGCATTTAAGAGTTGAAAGAGTTTTAAAAGCCTGTCTTATGTCTTATTTGGAAGGAAAAATGGTTGGGAAAATTCAAAAATGGTTGGGAGAATTTACTGTCAAAGGGTGTCGCACAGTGACACCTTCAAAGAAAACCATAAACATATTTGTGGTTTGAGAATTTTTTCAGGATTGTTTGCATGTTAGAGGTATAGTACAGTAGAAGGAATATAATAAGTAACATTTCATACAAAAATTACGCAATTTTTTCATCAACCTTCAACAATGTTACTGAGTCACTTTAAGAACAATCTTTACCAAACAAGGTGTACATGTACTTTGACACTTTCTTGTTATTCTAAATGTACATCATCCCAATGGTATTATTGGGTATGATGCGGCAACCAGGGCATGGAGCGGGTTCTACTTACTTCACGAGGATCAAAGTAGGATCTAGCAAGGAGGTTTTCTAGATGGACGTATCTGTCAGCCTGGTTCTGTTTGAGCATAATCATTGGATCAGTCTGTCTGAGAAGTGATCTAGCAGCGCCAAGCTCACGCAGCTCAATCAACTCAAGCACAATCTATATCAAATACAACAAAAATAAAAGGGAATCATGATGTAATGATATGTACCCGGTAATACAACGACTACATGTACTTTGTGTTGAAACATGAAAATTAAAAACTAAATCAACTTAAGCAAGATTGGTGAAAATTCATCGTACTTTGTTGGAGCAGTAAATGGGGAAGCATAATTACCAAAAAAGAAAATCTGTCAAGTCATTTGTTTATAATAGGCATATTTTGTCCCTAGCCTTCATTTAGCAATTTTATTTTTAATAATGGCTTCATTGCAAATATCTACTATATGAGAAAACATTAATTTAAAAAAATGTTTGTAAGACTTGCTTTGAGTAGCCGGTCTTCACTAAATCTTTACCTGAATTTCCAATGCTGGACTATTTGTGTTCACTATTTGAATACATTTCATTTTTGATCACATCAATATCTACAAGTAGGTCAATATTACTTTTGACAATGCATAGGATAGTACCAGACTACATCAGAAACTGTAAAATATGCAAAATTCCTAAGATAATAACACACTTCAAAACCGAATTTTCAATTAGATCATCTAGGAAAGCTTTGAGAGCTAGGTTCACCCTACTTGTTCATAGAGGTCAATGAGGGTCTTGTCCGGGAGCTTGAGTGATTGTATCTGCTGCAGGACAGTGTCCCAATGACCGCTGTTGATGTCCGTGATGAACTGGTCAATGCTGTCCACCGTGTTGAGGGATACAGAAGATTCCTCCTGAAGGGTGGCCAAGGTCCGAGGCAGACCTGCTTCCTTCAGATACTGCTGGATCAGTCTCACCACACTAAAAACACAATTATCAAAATTCAATTAGATGCACAAGTGGGGTATGGTATTTCTACATCTCTACTCCGTCCCTGCCCAAATGTGCAACAATTTCACTTAATAATTGTTTAATCACCTAATAAATATGAAATTCTGTCTTTTTATTTCAGGTACATGTACAGTATGTTCAAAATTATCATTGTTAACACACAAAAACCCTTATTTACATCATTCAAAGCCGAAACCTTTCATTTTATAGTCAGTCTCACAATTACAAATTAAAAACACCGTGCAAACCAATTCTAGACTAGCCGCTGACGAGCGACTGTAATTTGATCCAATTTCACGTCAAATTCAAATTTCAAAATTTTAGCTGTTTGGATTTGTCCCGGCGCAATGCCACACCCACTCCCACAGGTTTGTCTAATTATGAGCTAGTCATGAGTGACTATCAGAACTAACCGTTTCAAGGCCCCTATGGACGGACAGATTAGTGTCTTTTGATGAGAACAGGTAGATATTATGTATCTAGATTTTCAAAAGGCTTTTATCAACAACTTCTGTACAAATTGAAACAACTCTGAATACATGGACAAGTATTGGATTGGATAGAGAGTTTTCTTGAAGGACGCAGGCAGAGAGTTGTTTTCAGAAATGGTGTGTCATCTTGGAAAGACGTTACAAGTGGAGTACCACAAGGGTCCATTCTCGGGCCCTGCTTTCTGTTTTATTGGAATGACATTCCGGAAATGCTGACCTCTACAGCTAAGATATTTGTTGACGAAAACAAAGTGTAAAGATGGATCAGGACCAAACATGATTATGATATTCTCCAAGATGATCTGAATGCACTAGCGGCATGGTCCAAGCTCTGGATGTTAAGATTTTAATATTGAAAAATGTGTGGTACTGAGAATAAGAGGTGCTTTGCAGTACTGTTATTTCATGAACGGAAAGATCCTTCAAGAGGTGTCTCATCACAAAGATCTGGGAGTTATTATGACGAATTGTTTGTCCCCATCAACTCATGTTCAAGCTATTGTGAATTCCGCTCATCGCAAAATGGCTATGTTTCATTGTTATTTTACAAATCTAAATGAAGAAAAGATTGCGACCTTTTATCAATCAATTGTGAGACCAGCGTTAGAAATTTCATCAACAGCTTGGAGCCCTTACACTAAGAAAGATATAGAGGCATTAGAGAAGGTCCAAACGAGGTGTCTGTCTATGCAGTAACGAGACCAAGACTAAGATAGAGTCTCTACAGGAGAGGAGACAGAAGATGGATTTGATCGAAACTGAGAATTATCGATGTTTTATCATAACTTAATCATATTTATAATTAATAAATGACACATATTTGGAAAGCTTAGATCCTCCTCTTTCATTTGATGCAACTCATATGACTTATATTTCACGCATGAGTGATTAACATCAATTTGAAGAGAGGAAATCGAAAAGTCATTTGGCGGGTGGTATCTGAATTTCAAAGAGAAAATCAGATTTCTAGAAAGTTGGGTTTCTGCCCTTTCATGACACCTCAATAAGGAAAAATGAGCTAGGAATAACAAAGTTATGTTTGTTTAAAGTAGTGCTTGCATTTCCATAATTTGATTAACCGAATTCGTTTTCACTGGCAAAATACAAAATACTCAAAAAATGACAAGAAAATTGACACAAAACAGGTAATAAACATAACAACTTTTGAATTATGATCTTTATATAAACATTTGATGAATATTTTCTTCATTTTGGGTATGTTTTAGTGGGGTATCTCTAGATCTAGTCTAGCCGGAGTTATGGGTCAAATTTTGGATAGATCTAGACCTAAGTTAGGGCTGATTCTAAGTTCTGAACAAGCGCCAATAACTTTTTCTGAATCAAAATTCAGGTAAAGAAAACTAGTTCTGGATCTATCCATATTCCATAACAACAGGATCACCTCATACTTCCATACACTGATGGTGATAAGTAGATCTCAGTAATATTGTGTATTGGGATTGACCGGATAAACCATACACTTTATTAACTATTCACTCAACGTAATAACTCGTAAGTCGTAAGCCTACCCACAGCACAGCGCCCACAATCATGACAATCCAGGGATCGACGATCCACGCGCAGCTCATCGCATATTTTCACTCATACAATTTCAGCCAAAAACAGATTCACATATACACTCCAAACACAAGGGAAAACAAGTAACTTACTCAGCAGATTCGATTTCCAAAGACATATTCAGTGGTTTTTGTAGCCGAATGTGAAGAAAGCAGCACCAGCAAAAAAGCGATCCCGAGGTGGCGTAATATGAATATTCATGAATCTATCACATATTCATATTACCCAGTCGAGCTTAGTCTGTTTTTAAGCCTATGTCATTAAAGGTTCAAAGACTCAAACTGCCACTGGATATTCAATGTGAATTGTTTGACCAACTTGTATTACCAATACTCATTTATGGATGCGAAGTGTGGGGATATGAAGATCTGAGTCAAATTGAAATATTCCATAGAAAATTTCTCAGGTCAGCGTTATGTGTAAATAAATTTACACCAGATTGTATGATATATGGAGAAACTGGGAGGGCATGGCTAGCTAACAGTATCAAACATCGAATGGTTAGTTTCTGGTTAAGAATAGTAAAAGGTTCTCCCTCTAAATATTCAGTCAAATTTTATTTTTTGCAAAGGTTAATTAGTCAGAATGTAGATATGTCTACTTCTTTCAAGTGGTTATCTTGTATTGAAAAAATATTGAACCATGCTGGTCTTGGTATTGTTTGGCTAAAGCAAGGGGAAGGATTTAGCAATAGTTGGATACTGAGCACTCTGAAGTTGAGATTAAACGATATTTCAAAACAAGATGTGATGGCAACAATTTGGACAAACAGTGTGTGCCTAAATTATAGGATCTTTAAAGAGGATTGTCTCTTTGAAAGGTATTTAGTTTTGCTGAGTAAAAAAGATAGAATAACACTGAGCCGTTTTAGATGTAGGTCACACCGTTTACCAATTAATAATAACAGATTCAAAGAAGCTGTTAATGAAATTAGTATTGAATGCCCATGTTGTGATATGCATGAGTCTGGTGATGAATTCCATTATGTTTTTGTATGCCCTTTTTTCAGAAAGGAAAGAGAGTTATATTTAGGTCGCAAAGTAATAGTTAAACGCCCTTGCACATCACACATGTTGAATTTATTTTCATGTTCCGGTATAGGACAGCTGAAGAAATTAGTACTCTTCTTAAGGATAATAATGTCATATTTTGCTCGTCTATATACATGTAAATCTGAACAATCCAATCATATGTCGCCCATAAAAAGAAATGTTACAACCCGAAGTGGTAGGTTAATTAAGCAACCAACAATTCTTGATCTGTAGTACAGTCTTTCTTTAGGTCAAGTATAGTTTTGATGGTTTTTTTGTTCTTTTGTTCATTTTTTTGTTTTTTTGTTAGTATACTTTTTGTTTTGTTTGTCTTATTACATTATATTCCATTATGTTTTTGTTTGTCCAATGGACGATTATGGCGTATTTTGTTAGTCTGCATATATCTTAACAATCCAATCACAACTCACTTACATGTACAAAAATGAAACTTATAATTTCTTTTTTAGTTAAGACAATAATGTATTTAAAAAAAAAAAAAAATTGTAAAATTATTTTTTGTTTTTATCTTTCTTTTTCTTTGTGTTTGTATTTAGATTGTTCATGTGGTATTTTCCACTTTTCATGTATGCTTGCCATATTGTATAATATTGTATTTATGTTTAGCATAGGCTAGGTTTAGATCATTCCTATTTATCGTTATACTTTTATATTGTTGTTTTGTTGTATTCTGTATTTTTTCTATTATTAAGCTATGTTTGTATTCTTTATTATGTATCATTATCATGACATGTACATTTGTTGTACTCTCATACCCCAGAAGGGGGTCGAATGAGTCAATAAATTCTATTCTATTCTATTCTATTCTAGCCTTGATCTGTTAGCAGTTACTAGTACCTGATTCATTCCAAGTGAATTAGAAAGTGATTGAATAATAATAATAATAGGCATTTCAATAGCGCGCTTTTATCTAGAAATTCTATTCCGAGGCGTATTTATTATTACCCAGACTTTAGCCTAGCTCCCATTACAGCGCTCCAGCATTTTATTTCAATTTACATCAGCTGGGTTGAGTGTGGCAAATGTAATTTTTTTGGGGCTCAACAGGGAGGGGGGGGGGCAGTGAGCACTTCGATTCGACAGCCACCCCCCCCCCTCCCCTGTTGCATACGATCTCCCTCGAAGCAGTTCCGCAAAGTTGACAGCCATGGGTTTCTCACTTATTAAGACATAGATCTACACCCGGGTGTGACGCTCTAATGGGTCACTTTTTTTACAATAAATCCCTGAACAATTCAAACCAAAATATCCCAAAACATGGTCTGTTTTTTCAAAATTTTAGAGAAAAAAAATATTATTGAAGCATTCAAAACTAAGAAATATCTGCCCACAGAGGAAGAAAACAAAATTATTAAAAAAAGAAGATTTCTGACCGACCGACATGTTTAAGTTACCTGTAGTTACCTGTAGTTACCTGACTTCACAGGCTCTAATTTAAGACGTATTCCTATAATGCCTACCTTCCTTCATTTAAAATCCATTGCATGTGATATTGTGTCATAATTTGCAGATAAAGGGCAATCTACAACGTCTTTTTTTTTTAGGCCTAAGGACCTGGGGCCAGGGGCCCGTTTTTCGAAACCGTCATAAGTCTAACTTCTTGACTAACCCATTGAAATGTCTTTCATAGAATTAACACACGTTTCAAGAAGTTAGACTTATTATGGTTTCGAGAATCGGGCCCCCAAGCGATTTTTTTTTTCTCCTTTAAATAGACTACGAGCGCTCAAATATCTATGAATATTCATGATTGGTCTCCTGGTTGATGATTCTGAAATAACTAACACACGCCTTTAGCTTCGTTAAAACTTCAATTTTATCGGGCCTTTTCTGCTTTAAAATAACATATATTTTTGTTGAATCATTAACGTGGTTGGCAGAGAGAAGAAGCAAATTACCTGACAACGAAATGGTAAGTGTGTGCTCATTTGAAAATAAGAATCATTGTCTTTATGTTAAAATGGTTAATATTCAGTCCCATCTACTGCTATACATGTAATGTCAAATCAGTCATGATGTCACTGTGTTAACAACACTAAACTTTAACCAAGTAGCACACTGTGCACACGAAGTCGGGCTAACTCGGACCAGGGGACAATTCGGCCCAGCTGCAAAAACGGTCATTTTTTGCATGTTTAGGTTAAAGATAATTTTGAGTTCTGGTAAAAAAAGAAAATGAATTCTCACAGAATCTAACGAAACTTAGAGTAAAGGAGGGGGTTTTCGGCCACTTATTAAGACAAAATCCTATTTTTTGGACTCTTTACTTCCTATTTATTATCATTTCTTGTTCAAATCATGAAGCAAATATTATTATTATTTAAACAAAAAAAGAATCCCAGAAAAAAATCATGAATTGCCGTGACAATATTCATTTCAATTTTCACTGTTTTGGAGCCAGTTATCGACCTAGCGATTCAGTTTACGACCGCATGTAGAAAGTCAATAGGAAGCACGCGCGCCGTGCGTTTCCGCGCTGATCTATTGCACAAGCGGGCGGAGCAGGTATCCCGGAGCTCCCGGGTGCTCGCCTGGTCGAAGACTAGCACTGCGGTGATCGGAAGTTGGAATCTGAATTAGACAGACATATCGTGTGTGCGTTGCGGGGTCCGGCTGCATTGATTAAATACATGCGATGAGATACTTTTGAGCTTGCGACTAACACAAAATCGGGCTCTAAATCTGAAAAATACTTGAAATAAAGCTCATTTTATGGTACCCATATTTCTTACATACACGCGTAAGAAACTCGATTTTTCAGATTTGGGTAGAGGGACCGCTGATTACATCGCTAAAATGTGATATTTTAGGATATATTTTCCATTGCAAATGTGGTTCTTCAGTGACTCTAGCATGGTATGGTATGTGTGGGATATGTGATATGCTATTATGCGATGTATTTTAAAGGGATTTTGCCATGTATCCAACGGATCGGCCGAAAACTGGAGCTGGTCGTTTAATCTACACTGAATGTTCAAGATTACAAATAAATGTCATGTGCCAAACAATTTGGAAGAAAATGTATACTGGCTGAGTAATGAGCATAGAAAGATAAAGAAATTAGGGTAGTACTAGCCCCAACACCATGTGTGTTGTCCCATATACATCTTTCTGTGTAAGTGATTGTTACTTTACCAAGACTCTGCCAAATTTATGATGATTTTGATGATTCCAGAACCTTGCATTACACACCATTACTTACATGCTATATGATCAACTTTTGTGATCCATTCCACACCTTTTCTTTCACAATGCAATCGCATTACCAGAACTCAAGTTTATCTTTAAGGGTTAGGTTTAGGGTTAGGGTTAGGGTTAGAGTTAGTTAGAGTTAGGGTAAAATGACAAAAAATGACCGTTTTTGCAGCTGTGCCGAGTTGTCCCCTGGTCCGAGTTAACCCGGATCCGTGCACACATAGCTGCATTACTATCCTGGCTGTGTATTAAAAGCTGTGCTGTTGATTCTCAACATTTCAAACATCACTGTACAAAACTCAACTAATTTTACTAAAAATCTTTACTTTAGTGACATTTGGTGACAGCTAAATAGCAGTAAAATAAAAAAAGAATAATTTAAAAATTAAAATTGTGAGTCTCCTGTCAAACTTGCCAATCAGCCACATCGGCAAGATTGCGTGCATTTGTGTGTTGTGTGTGTATTGACTATTTGTGTTTGCAATTGCTGCCTAAGCACGTTTGCAGCGCTAGAGGTCAATACGCATAAGCATTGACTCTCTATGCTTTGCTGCAGAGACAAAGTAGTAGGAGCGCTGGTCCAAGAATGAGGATCGTCCTCCTAAACGAGGCTTTTCTCGTAAACGCAGACAAAATACTCTGAAAAAATGAGGATCATTTTATTTCATCGGCGCTCTGCAGGTTTCGGGTTCTCGAACCACCCCCCTCACCACGAAGAACTTCAGCTTACATTTAGCACATGCGCAGATCGCAGATTTGTGCGAGGAGCAAGCTTGCGATTTTCTGTTTTTTTCTACCCAAATTATGATATTTCAGTCAAACCCCTACGGAGATCTAAAAACAATAATTATCTGCAAGGTTTTGTTGCCCCTACGGAAATCTAAAAACAATAATTATCGGCAAGGTTTTGTTGCCCCTACAGAGATCTTTAAAGAATAATTATCGGCAAGGTTTTATTGCCCCTCCGGAGATCTAAAAACAATAATTATCGGCAATGTTTTGTTGCCCCTACGGAGATCTAAAAACAATAATTATTGGCAAGACTTTGTTGCCCCTACAGAGATCTAAAAATAATAATTATTGGCAAGGTTTTGTTGTCCCTCCGGAGATCTCAAAACAATAATTTTCGGCAAGGTTTTGTTGCCCCTACGGAGATCTAAAAACAATAATTATCGGCAAGGTTTTGTTGCCCCTACGGAGATCTAAAAACAATAATTATCGGCACGGTTTCGTTGCCTCTACGGAGATCTAAAAACAGTAATTATTGGCAAGACTTCGTTGCCCCTACGGAGATCTAAAAACAATATTATTGGCAAGACTTTGTTGTCCGTATCGGCAATGAAGTATCGTCAATAATTATTAATTTAGGAGTTCCGTATTGGCAATGAAGTGTCAAAAACAAAAACAAAACACATGTAACAAACTGCACAAAAATAACGGTTAAACGAGAAATGCTAAACGGTTTAGATTAATGCGGTCGGATAACCGTCGGTTAAACGTTTTGACTCAGGCCTACAGGTAGTACGTAATATTACGTATTGACTTTGCCATTGAACTTAAGTTGGGCTTAAGTAAAGTAGTTCCTCTCGCACTTAAATTCAAAGCCACTTGAGCTGCAAAAATGCAAACAATCCTTATTAATGCCGAAAATTTTCAAGTTTTTTGCTATCAAATGCTAAAAACACATGCATGGCTGGGATTATTTTGTCATTTGGAGTTGGTGTAGACCATGAATGTTAATATTTTGTGCCTTTTCATTACTTTGAATTTAATAATATTGGTCTAAGAGAGAGGCAAACCATGCGAGCTGCCATCTTGGATTATAATGTAGGCATCATTTTTTGTGCATTGTCATTTGCATCATGAAATGAATATCCAGAGACTAATTTGAAATCCATTTCAAGTAGTCCAAGAGTGTTTTCGCTTCCTCACAAAAATGTTGATGGTTGACTATTTACTAACCTATTAAGGTAACAGTTACCAGTAGTGGTCCGAGAATAAGGATCGTCTGCATAAACAAGGATCGTCTTCGTAAACGCGTATAGATGTGTCCGCAAAAATGAGGATTGTCTGCATTTTTGCAGACGTTTCATATTTTCAATCGGCGCATTGGCGAGGCGAAAAACAGATTCCGCGATGATTTTCTTGATGCATTTTACATTGACTTTGTACAGACTATCACTGTGCACAAAGTTCTTTGTGAGCATGTTTTTTTAGCATTTGATAGCCAAAAAATTTTCGGCTTAAAAAAAAAATCAACCAATTTTTTTCCAATCATTTTTATTGATCGCCAATCAATTTTTTTATCCGATCTCGCCTGATCGGCCAAAGATCAGCCCCTGATCTGATGATCAGCTACAGGGTTAATGTCTTTTATGCACTCTAACTGACGGATTTCATTCAAATGTTGTATGGAGTTGTGTCTTAGTAAAATATACCCCTACACATCTTGAGTATATGTGTGATCAGTGAAAGCTGAAAAGGACCTTGGAGTGACTACCAGCTGAAATTCCATCAACATGTATCATTAGCGGTCAGTAAGGGATACCAACTACTGGGAATAATGAAAAGAACTTTCTCCAAACTGGATACGACAACACTACCGATTCTATTCAAGACCCTAATTAGACCACACCTAGAATATGGGAGTGTTCTTTGGCATAGCAGATTTAAAGAAGATGCAAAGAAAATTGAAAGAGTGCAAAGAAGAGCTACCAAATTGGTTCGAGAAATCAAGGACCTCCCATATCAAGAAAGACTTAAATACATGAACATGTACTCTCTGTTCTACAGAAGAAGAAGAGGAGACATGATCGCAGTCCACCAGATCATGCACGGACTAGTCAACATCCCACAAGATCATTTTTTCTCCCAACCTGCAAGTAGAAGTAGATCCACGAGAGGGCACTGTCTCAAGATCCAGAAAGAACACTGCAGACTGGATGTTAGAAGTAAGTCTTTCAGCAGACGAATAATACAAGACTGGAACAGTTTGCCAGAAAATATTGTGGTCTTGGCAACAACGGACAAATTCAAAAGACACATAGATAAACATTGGTGGGAGTATCGCTTCGACCTCCCATGACTCTCTCTCCTGTGCATGCGCATACACTCAGCAATAAATCTAACAGGCTAAACCTACATTATAGAAGCAGTGACCGGGAATTACAGGCCAACGCCTTCTACCCGTACTTGATGATGATGATGATGATGATGAGTGTTTGGGGATGCTGCCACCTGTGTTACGTCTGTTATAGGGTCATATTTTGGTGGCTGCCTTTTGTGCGCTCTAACTGCCACATTTCTTGACAGATTTCTTTCAAATTATCTACAGAGGTGCATTATACTCTAATCTACACACATAGGCCCGAATTCACAAAGGAGGTTTGTCGACAAACCTTGGTTGTCGTGCGTCATATGATGCGTTTTGACGCGTTTTTACAAACCAGGTTTGTAAAAAACGCGTAAAAACGCGTAATTTGACGTACGAAAACCAAGGTTTGTCGACAAATCTCCTTTGTGAATTCAGGCCATATTGTTTTGGTGATGCTGCTTCTAGTCTTGACAATAGTCCGAGCCACTAGTAGCGATCTCTTCTTCATACTTATGTTTCTGGAAGGGGAGAGGGGATCTTTGTCCCTCCTTCGAACATAAGGATGACAAAAACAAACGCTGCCACTGCCGGGGATACATTCGCATTGCGGGGCAATACAGATTGCAATATTTCTAGTTTCAATTAGACATACCACATACAGAACAATGATAATTTCCTTGAATTAAAAATGAACAAAATTTGTTTTAGTAGTTTTGACTACCGGTAAGTCATGTAATTGAAATACCAAATCTACCTAAATGCATTATTATATACCTCTCTTTAGTATGTTGAATAAATCTAGTCATCTGATTGGTCAAAATTGGAATGACCACAAAGAAAAGAACAATGCCCGTTGCCTTGTGTAACGGGCAGTAGTATAGTATTAATGACTGCTTTGAGAGAAATAGTTGTTTTTATACGCTCAAGGGAAGGTTAGAATTGTGCAACAGCCCAATAGACCAGTTCACGGTTAGCACATTACTGCAATGACCCCGAATATCCACAGATCTTCAAAACATGAAGAGGTCCCACTTTGTACATTGTGAAATAACCACTCCTACAGCGATGGAGGTGCTACATATATAGCCTTTGTTTCCCCTTTTCAAAGAATATTTCCACCTGTGTATCATGGAGTGCACTGAATGTGCATGAATAAATAATGATTACATGAGCACGTATCCAGTATTTCGTCTCCGTGTATTTCAAAATTTGTTCTGCAATGACCTTTATCTGCTCATGCTCAGACTGCAACCGTGAACTGGCTTATTCTAACCTTCCCTTGAGCGTATAAAAACAACTATTTCTCGAGTATTAAAGCAGTCATTAATACTTTTATATGCCGAAAACAAAAGAGTCAACTAATGACACCGCCTTGGCCTTTCTCTAGTTTATCTGCACGGTTGTTTTTTACGAGTGTATCTTTGAGAGTAGACTAGATCTAGATTCTAGTCTAAGCAAGATATTTTTACAATTTTGGGGGTGGGCCGGCCCTGTGGGGAAATAGGAGAAGAACACACCTCTTCATATGACACCTCACTTATTGAGTATCACCTTCAGGATCACAACAGATAAAGGTTTGAATCTCGAATTGAAAAAAAAACCCTGACTTTTTTTTGCATGGTCGCGCAATGCACGTAGACTACATAGAGACTGCATTGCGTACAATCTCTATGGGAATAATTTTAGTACACAACATCGGGTGCGCGATCAGACACCCTGACTAGTAGTAGACTACTAGATCTATTTTCGTCTAAGTCTATGCTGGTACTCATTTTCAGCAACTAAACGAATATGTTTATGGATAATTTCACGTACCCTTTTTGTTGTTCTTGCTGTCAGCGAGTCTTGCATTTGATAAGTTGAAATCTTGGGAGATTTTCTTTAACCATTTTTGTCATGTTTGGAATTGTCGTCTTGTATGAAAATACCGACCGATTCTTCGCACACGTACGGTATCCTCGATCGCTCAAACCATTTTTTAACATGTAAAACCTATGGGTAACCATGGAGACTGAACTATTTTCCCGGTAACCATGGTTACTGGGATTTTAGAACTATTTTAACCATGGTTACTGGGAATTTTACAAAAATAGTTTAAGTTTATGAATGCAATTTCGACCAATCAGATGGCTGGATTTCTTAAGTGATGTATATAATTAATGATAAAGATGCCTGTTGCCCTGGGTAACAGGCCACATAGTTAAATTTTGCTGTCCATTGAATTTTTACACACACTTCCATGTAATATCTATGAAGGAAATGATTCAACAGGCATAGCGTTGCACGGAATGAACAACTTTTCTTCAGAGTGAAAGAGTGATGGCTTATTTCTAAAGTACACCAAAACATTTCTATTTTTAATTCCTTTTATATCTTGATTTTATTATTTCAGTACAGTGTGGTGTACAAGCAGGAGCAGGCGCACGATGACAGTATCTGGTGTGTGGCTTGGATGAAAAGTGATAGGGATGGAGTTGAGAACATCGTCACTGGATCAGTGGACGACTATGTCAAATGCTGGAACTGGTAAATATTCTTATCACCATGGGAATTCCCTTGGTGTTGGAAAAGTACACATTTTCATTCAAAAGAACTTCAAAAAATCATCAGTGAAAGCATAAAAGATAAAATTAAAGGACATAATGAAAAGGGGAAAAATAGGGGAAAAATTGAGGAAAAAAGTCAACTGTAAATATTCATTGAATCTGATGGAAACTTCAACGTATAGATATATGCATTAATTAGAGTTAATGTAATATGGCAATCATTCTAACAATCAACCACTATTCTATTTCTGTGATTCTAGAAATAAAGCATTTATTTAAAAAAAAAATTCATTAAATGATTTATCATTTTTTATTACTTATTCTTGAGAATTTTTACCCCAAAGTGTCAATTCAGTCTATGATATTTGATTTAAGCATGAACATCGTAATAAGGGATGTTATTATTTCTTATTTATGATTTCTCATTTTTATTTACCAGGGAGAATGATGAACTAAAATTAAAATGGACCTTGGAAGGACATCAACTTGGAGTGGTTTCTGTAGACATCAACCCAACGGGAACAAGTAGGTGTATCTTAAATCTCATAAGGGTTCCAGTCTTCCAGATTATATGGGTCGTTTGTTGTACTGTGTATAGTGGGTATGGGATGATATCGCAAAGTACCAGTGATAAGGCCTGTGCAGTGTAACAACCTTATCAACAAATTCTAACCCACTCCTTCACCAAGAAAGAAGGCCTGAAACATCCTACTTGAGAATGCCAGCTAAGTTTCTAGCCTTCTTCAAACCCAAATGTTACTGTGATTACCTTCCATTTCTCTCTTTAGAAAATTTAGCAGTTTAATTAGAATGTCCAGATGAAATTTTGGTGATGTCACTGATTGCTTCCTGTCAATAGACTGATTTGAAGATTCTGAAATTCAGAAATGGAACTGTGTTTTATATTTGTTACACTCTTACATAACTATTAGCACTAGGAGTGACTTTACTTGACTTCTTTGATTCATTACAATTGATTCAAACTTACAAATTACTATGAGATGTACCTGCTATGTGATGTGTAATTTCCTTTAGCTTTTTAAAATAATCTATAAGTTTAAGGTGGCAATGATGGCCAATTTTGAAGTGCTCAAGAATCTTTTGAGAAGTATGTTCTCTCCTGGATCCCTTCACTAAAGCCCAATTTTGTAATTCAATCATTTTGCAGGATGAAACTCTTATAACTCTAAACCACTTGCAAAATTCACAGAATTGTATGAAATTACAATATTCTCTGTCGTTTTATTCCACAGTTGCAGCCTCAAGTTCTCTTGACAGTCATATCAGATTATGGGATTTAGAGGTCGGCAAACAGATGAGGTCAATCGATGCGGGTCCAGGTAACTCAATTCAACCACATAGTATCAATAATTGGTGTTGTCCATACTTTGGGGTTATGCAATATTTTGTTGTTGTTAAAATTTTGTTATTATTTTGCACAGTTTTAAATTTTTTACCAGTGCAAATTATCATATTTTAGTGCTAAATTTGCTTTGAAATCTTTCAAAACTGAACAGAAAAAGACCAGAAGGGGATGATATGAAACGGAGAAGGCAACCTTGTTTGTGTGTGCTTAACTGATTGTTAAATATGTTTTGATACTCTAAAGTAGATGGTTGATGAAAACTATGTTTGTTATGGTAATTATGATGATGCCATGGAAATGGTAACATTGATACCTACAAATATCATGGTGGCTATGGTGATGATAGTGATATCTCTCATCATCCATCATTTCAGGTGCAGAGGGTAAGGGAGGTAAACCCTGTGCTTGATCAGCCCTTGTTTACTGCAGTTGTGATTGCGTGTGACTCACACTGAATATTTTTATACAGCTTTTCAACCTCTCTCTCTCTCCTCTTTTTTTTACTCTTTCTCTCCTCTTTTTTTACACTTTCTCTCTCTTTCTCTCTCTCTCTCTCTTCTCTTTTTCATCCCTCTCTTCTCTTTTTCATCTCTCTCTTCTCCTTTTTTCCTCTCTCTCTCTCTCTTCTCCTTTTCACCTCTCTCCCTCTCTCTTTTCCCCCTCACATTTCTCCTTTGCTGTCTTACTTACTTTTGTATCCTTTAATGTTGTATTTGGTGTACAGGGCTTGTGCCGGTTGTTTTGTAATTTCTTATTGATACCATCCGAAACCTTACTCGCTACTTGTTTCTTACTATATTATTAAATCTAATTTGATAGGAAGCTATCCAGACAGAACCTTTTCTTGTTTTTGTTTTTTACATCTGTGCCTTGTTCTGTTTTGTATTCATTCATTGTACATGTATATGTTATCCCAATTCATTTATTATATTTTACATGGAATTGCATACATGTTTGTACCTTTGTAAAAATATTTTTATAGATGGAATTGAATAAACTGAACTGAATCAAACTGTTTACCAAGCAGTTCTTACTCTTTTTCCCTACGAAATCCTATTAGGTCCCCTAACCAAATGCTGCATGTACATGTTCTTGTCCATCGCTCCATTTACAATCATCATGTGTCATGTCAGTAAGGACAAACCATTTCACAAACCATGATAAGCAAAAAATTCATGATTTTAATACTATCTGCTAAAAAACGCAGTCTTCGTCACGATCCATCAGATTTTATCCTGAATTATCAAAGAGGTTGTGAGGCTTGATTTCACTTAAATTATTTGAAAAAAAGAAGTAGAAATCTAAGAGAGCTGTAGCACAAATGATCCAATTCAATTTGCATGAAAACATATGTTAAAGGTAATACAAAGTTTGGTATGGGGTTATGAAATTGGAAGCATATATGCGATCCTACAATATTCAGTGATCGTTGCTCTTTATGGTGTATAGCTCCCTCTCAAGGTCATGATATTAATTAAGCTATAAAACAATGTTTCATGACTAAAATCGACCAGTTAGCTATTCCGGTTATCACATTTACATATTCTGTGATTTTCATTGTCGCAGCTACGATTGTATGGCCGTTCCTGAGAGCACCGGTAAATTTTTGTATTCAATTTTTCTTGAAAGCAGAAGTGTTTTAAGGGCTTAATTTTCTATAATACATCCACAGGGACATCCAAATATATCACTATCCACCCAATTTTCAAAATTTCCCAAACCTTTGTAATACCTTTAATAATAACATTTACAAAATTGAGGAAACTCAAGGTTGCTTTTGCGACGAGCAAATTGAAATTTGCCATTTTTTTTTTGCAATCATTTCTATCATTATATTCATATTTCTATTTTGCAGTTGATGCATGGACGATAGCTTTCTCACCCGAAGGCCGCTTCTTGGCGTCCGGTAGCCATGTTGGAAAGATCAATCTGTTTGGAGTGGAGAGTGCAAAGAAAGAGTCCCAGCTAGACACCAGAGGCAAATTCACACTCAGCATAGCATATGTAAGTTTGAAAATGAAAGTATTATCACAATTGCAAGCATAATGTAAGAGGATTTTTGTGTTTGTTTTTGGTTTTGATACAAAATTGTATCAAAAGTCATTGTAATTGAAAAGTCTTGAAAAAACTTGCTATATTAGCTCAACATCTATCAATTTGTTTAAATGTTCAATTTATGAGCCAAACATGACATTTTTTAAGTTTTAAAAGTTAAGTGAAAAGTGTAAAAAGAATAGACATGTGTTAATCAAAGTATTTTGGCATAAAAAGGGGAATGTTTCACACTGTAACTTATCTGAAGGGGACGAAATCACAGTAGTGACCACTTTCTCTTTCCTTTTCAGAGTCCCGATGGAAGGTTCTTAGCAAGTGGAGCTATCGATGGCATTGTCAATATATTTGATATTCAGTCAAGTAAACTGCTTCACACATTAGAAGGTGAGTCATAAAGCACTAATAATGATAAGTATTTTTTACTTTGCACTTTCTGATATAGAGTTGACTAAATCATTCATAGTGTATTTGTAAAGCGCTTTAATAGAGACATTGTATTAAGTGCTATATAAAAGCTAAATATTATTATTATAATTATTATTACTCTTACCTTGCCCTCATTCAACAGGTCCACCTTTCATTCTTGAGTTACGGAAAGGGGAAGAGAAAAAAAAAGGGGGGGGGGACAGAAAAAGAGAGAAAAAGGGGTATGACAAATTTAGTTATTAATCTGTACATGCAGTACCCCTCAAGGGGCTACCATCATGTTATGTAATAATAAGACTTCAGTGTTATCTTAACGAAAATCAGAGACAAAACGATAACAGATATGGGTCATTCACAAAGTTAGGGCAATTTTTGTGACCTACCAGAAGTGAGAAATATGTCTCTTATCAACTGTAACAATGTTTGCTCAAATTGAGTTTTGCATAAAAAACAAAGCCAACTATCTTGAGAAGTACTCAAGCTTCATGGTGAATCAATATTATGGACCCAAAGTTTATGTAATGTTATATGAATATGGTGTCCATGTAACGCTTGTAAAAAGAGATTAAGCAAAGATTTTGAAGAAAAGCAATTGAAACCGGAACAATTCTGGCAGGGCACTACTACAAATATTCATTGCGTAAAAATCTTCAACAGATAATTTCATCTTCCATGTGTAGTAGAAGATCTCATACCAATGTTACATACCAATGTTACATGGACACCGTTGTATATTTTGCTCAACTTCACGGAATGACCCATATTTAACATTAAGTTTCCTAGTAGCTCTGGGTGAAAAGGAGCTGCTTTATTCTTGTTTGAAAGGTACCAACGCAGATAATGTTTCTGATTTTACTGGGCAGTCTGTTTCGCATGACTGGCGCCTCATGTCCAAATGCCTGATCGCCGTAGTGGTGGTTCGGCTGCGAGGGACTACAAGCATAGTGGATAAAGAAGATAGAAGAATATAATGACACTGCTTCATGGCAAGAATATCCTTGATACAATCAGGAGCAGCATTGTAGAGTCCTTTGAAAACCAGCGTCAGAATCTTGTACTATTTTGGGAAGCTTATTTATATCCCTGCCATGGGGATCCAAAATACTTTTTTTTCTTCTTTTTTTCCACGAAATCAGTGACCATGACCAAATCTTTGATACCATTAATGCGTTCCCAGTCAAATGTATTAGTCTTGTTTTTTGTATGCACTACTTCCAGGTCACGCTAAGCCCATCAGGTCACTGTGTTTCTCTCCAGACTCTCAGCTCTTAGCAACTGCATCAGATGATGGACAGATCAAAATATATGATGTGTGAGTAAATTATTATACTATGTGTCCTGTATGTACAGGGGTGAACCTCCTGAGATCAGGGACCTGTTTCACAAAGCCTTTTATCAATGACAAATATCAGTGACAAACCTGCTGATAACCAATCAGAAGCAAGGATTTCAGTAGCTAACAAAAACTAACATTTGTCACTGATGACAAGTTTTGTGAAACACCCCCCAGGAGGACAGAGTTACAGAAGAAATATGCCCATGACAGAAGTACCTCACTATATTTAGTTATTTCCTATCCTGTTCATGACCAATAATATAACAACAAAAATAATGGATATAGCATTTTCCTTTTCATTTGATTGAGTGGGGCTGTCAACTAGAATAAGGTTTATTTACAAAATGTTGGTATTAATGTACAGGACCTGCCCTTTTTAATATTCTAGCCATAGCATGTATACAGTATAAAAACAGCATATTGCAGGGAAATGGAATTCAAGAATTCTTTTTTCCAGCTTCCATGAATACATCTATATGCAGGCTCTATGGCTAAGTGGTAGAGCACTGGTCTTGTAACTGGTAGGTTCTTTGTTCGAACCCAAGTCGATACGGTAGCGCCCTTTGCTAAGGCATTAATCCTCATTACCAATTCCCTCAGAGATGTCATAAAGCCATTGCTATGTTGGTTGCTTTCTTACATGCATAAAGATTCTATTTGAAATGGATTTTATGCCTCTGCTACAAGTTAGCCTGAGGCATTCTGTTTTCGGGTTGTCCGTACGTCCCGTTCTCGTGATTGCGTTATCTCAAGAACCAATTGATGAATTCCCGCCAAACTTGGGTCATGTATGTATCTTGCAGAGCCAATGAACTGATTAGATTTTGGGCTCACGAGGTCAAAGGTCACAAGGCTCATCATGAATGCAAAAATAGCATGTAATCACGATATTCTGAGAACCTGTTAATGAATTACAATCAAACTTGAATGTTAAAAATTGCTTCTGTTTTGGTTTTTGTAAAATCGCTCTATGGTGGAGGCATCATTTCGGACTGCACACATTGGAAGGTCCATCTAGTTTATATTTTCATTGTTTGCTCCTCTCATGCATGCACAGACAACAAGCCAACCTTGCTGGAACCCTCTCTGGTCACAGCTCATGGGTCACTGGTATCCACTTCTGTCCAGACAACACACATTTTGTGTCCAAGTGAGTCACCAGAATGTTAACTCATTGAATACTATTAAAGCTGGAGATAAGTTAGTCCGGGGTCAATAGAAGAAGTATGTTATACCAAGGAGTTTTGAGAGCTGGAGTCCCAACTGACAACAAATTATTTCAAGCAACTGCCGTTTTCTAGGGTTTGCACAATAGAATCTACAAGTGTGCTGTTACCTTTGATGTCTGAGGTTTGATGCCGCCAACATCATTGGAAAGCTCGAGTAGTGATTTTTTTTAAAAAAGAAATATTGTTAAATTTCACTTTTCGTTTGAACTAAATAATAAATAATAACAATTGGATTTATATAGCGCCTTTTCCAAAGGTTACAATGCGCTGCTCTCCTAGACTTTCGACAATTTAAGAGGAAAATCTAAAAGATGATAAAATATGAATACAAATGCCTAATTGTGTCAAGAAATGTGCTTACAGTTTTAATTTGTGAAAAATAGTCGAACATCACAAGCCTAAAACCTGCAATTTGGCATGCCCAGTCGAGTAATTTTGATTAATATTTCAAGAAATTTTGCTCCATTTCCTTTCGCTTGCCTCCTATCTGTTCACTTTGTAATTCTGTTTCTTTGAACTGAAAGTCGCTCCTTACCTTGTATGTTAAACTTAAAGTCAGCCTTAGATTAATCATGTTGTAAATCTTACTAGATGTTTCCTTAGGTTGCCCGAGTTAATCAAACTGATTTAAATCATTGTTTATTTGAAATTTGTTCTGTATCTTAGGCTAATTTTTTCCTTATATTCATAATTTTGTATTTTTATATGCTCTTAGTTTAATGCTTTAGGTTCATTATTTGTATGTTTTATATACATATATTGGACATTCTTTTGTATTTGTATTTGCTTTATAAGAAACCACCATTATTATTATGACTTTGGGTGATAGAGGAGACACACAATTGGTAGTTTTCAAATTCTTCCCGCAATACATGTGTATTGAGGGAAGATAGATAATGTAATGACATCTTTCATCTTTGTCTCTACTCTCCTAGTCTCTTCTCTTTCATATATTCTCTCTCCCTTTCTCTGGAGATGATATTATGGTTTTAGAGGGAGTAGGAAAAGTACATTTCTGTTGTTTTTACCATTTTACGGTAATGTTATGGTAAACGACTAAAACCAGGGCTATACTGTGTTTTAAAGCACAAAAAGTTGTCTCATTAGGCTTCCTGTTCATTCATACATTCTACTCTGATGAGTGAAAGACAATAAAACATCCTGTTTTGTTGATGGCTCTACTTGTAATTAGACTGACATCACCGACTGTCTCTCATGATCTCTCTCTCTCTCTCTCTCTCTCTTCTTAGTTCATCAGACAAGACAGTCAAGGTGTGGGACTGTGGAACAAGACAATGTGTAGCAACCTTCTATGATCACTATGACCAGGTAATACCTCAGCCAATTGCAGCCTAATTCTTCTCAAATATTACCTCTAGGAATTATAGTAATAATAATAATGATAATGATAATAATGATAATGACAACAACACTGATGATGATAAAACCAGTATCATAACGCTAGATACAATAATGCAAGACTGAGTAAATATCCAAGCCCGTTTCTAAAATTTCTTGTTAATGTACTGCAGGCCTTATGAAGTAGAAGTAGCTGTCTGTTGCGAAGCGAAGATGACCGCCTTTACTTTAACTTTACAGCTGTTCTCCATACAGCTCGCTGGCCTGCAGCAGTTGTCCAAGACTTGGTTTCTATTTGCCTCTGCTTAAGGTACCGCTTGACTGTGTCCTTGTAGCGAAGCCGTGGTCGACCAATCCCTCTTTCGCCAGTATAGCCAGTGTATAATACTAGATGATAGCAAAAGGACTTGGCTAAAGTGGCTGACAGTTATAATCACTTTGAGAGGGGGGATTGCAGCCTGTGAATAGGGTATCACAACAAAATGTTGTACTACAACCAGGTGATTTGCAGTCTGGGAGAGGCATATTATTTATCTTTGCTCTCAGATTCTTCCACTTACTACTACTACTAATAATAATAATAATCTTTTACAGCAACAACAAGAAAAACAAAAACATTTTGTTCCCCCAAATGTGTTGTATACTCTTGTATTGTACTTAACCCCTAACAAAGTGTAGGTAAAGTATAAACTCATTTTCTGTTTGTTTTCTGACTGGCAGGTTTGGCAAGCAAAGTACAATGGCAATGGATCCAAGATGGTCTCGGTATCGGATGACAAGGCAATACACATCTATGACTGCCCCATCTAGATTCTAACAGAAGAGTAAGGACATAACATCAATGTTATATTGGCCTGTTTGTGGTCGACCCCTCCCCCAAGTACCCATTTAGGAAAATCACTCCTTGGACAGTTACCCATGTACACAGCTACCAAGTTGTTGTACTGAAATGTGAAGGGAAAAAATACTGAAGGTTAGATGGAGAATAAAAAAAGAAATTTAGAAATAAAGTTCCTATGTTCTGTCTGCTGTATTTATGTGGGAAACTGATTTCCTCAACAACAACAAAATAAACAACTGATTTTCTGCCATGGTAATTCTGAACTGTTCCTGTGAAAGTTGGTATCTCTGCATATAGGGTGATTCCCAGTCAGAGTATGCGGGCCCTGTTTCACTAAAACACTTGATTGATTCAAATTGATTTTAAGTCCTCCAAGTTCAATCAGATACTTATAAGAAGTTATCGCCTGTGCAAACTGTTGTACTCTATGTCAATATCAAATTAAAGTTTAGTTTCTGTCAATGTGAATCTATTAATTGGGTTTAAATCTTATCAGTTCTTGTTGCAGTTGACTGTGTCCAATCAGAGAGTGCTAGTTATGAATAACTGACATCAAACTTGTATAGCTAATTTGGGCGTGTACACTGTCTTTTTGAAAGGGTCATTGGGAATCCAAGTTTTGTCACTCCATTAACATCTCTCGGTTCTATTATTTCTTGATGTAAGAGCACTAAAGGGCAAAGAAAATACATGCATCTAACCCTGTCAGTATTTCTCCAACAACGGCTAAAAACCTATTTGCAAATCTGGTCAAAGATACTGAAGATTGGCATTTTAATTAATGAATTCTGACAAACTTGTTTCCAGATGTGGAAGACAAATGTAGACTGCTGAAATGAATTCATTCTCAAAACATGTTTAAACTTATAAATGTCAGTAATCTTTATTTGCATTTGAATGGTTAATTTAAAAACATGCGCTACATCTTTGGAAGACATAATCACATCTACTTTTTAATAAATATATGTTGTCATAATTCACTGATGATAACATTGATAATTTGTTTGTATATATTATATAATAAATCTTGCAAAATGTTGCATTGTTGCATAAACCTTACAAACTAAATTCTCATTCTGACCACCAAATATTATCTTGTGCTTGGTATCCCACAGGTTAAAATCAAGCTTTATTTTAGTTATAAGTACTGTTAGTGTAAATAGACTTGATGTAAGCATCAGTGTGTATATATGTATATATTCTAAGGGATGGTTCACACATGTCATCAAATTCAACAATCCATAGCAATGGTTGGACTAGGGTTATAAAGATTGAGTCGTTATCATTATCAATTCAAGTACACCTTCCACTGAAAGCCAGAAGGACATTATTGTTATAAAACTCTGTATAAAAGTAAAAAGGTTAATGCCCTCCTTGCTCTTAAGAATGTTTGCTTCAGCATCCAGGGTGAAGTCAACCTTTCTCCTTGTTATGTTTTGTGAAAATGAAAAGTTATTGAAATTTTAAATGAAAGTTGAGTTGGTTATGGCACTAGGTAAAAGTGATATTAAATGGGTAGAATGGGCAGCTTTGAAATGACACTCGGTATCAGATATAATTTCAATCATGACAAGAATTCCTGATATGTAAGTACATTTATTTAAACATGGGAGGTGCATGCCACCCCTCCGCCTTCTTTAGAAGGGTAAAAAGGGCTTTTGCTATTCAGTATCAGTGAATCCCAGTGAATTAGAATATGCATTCTTTTACGAAGGTACTCTGGTATGTTCAAATGCATGATGCACTTTTCAACATGTTCCTAACTTTTGTTGAATTGCTGACTTTTGTGAATAAAAATATTTTTCATTGAGAAATCAGTGAGTTTGTCCTTTTTTTCTTCACTGTAATCACAGAACAAATTTTAAAAAGAAAAGAAAATGGTGTATGATGGGAGCTTGGAAGAAAGTAGTAAGGAGACTGAATGAAATGAGTGAGAAAATGGATGAGTTGGATTTGAAAGTAGCGTTTTTTGTACCACAAATCACTGCTTACATTCAAAATATGATACTCATTCTTCATAGAATTATGTACATGGTATGGCTAAAAAGCCAGAAACTAAAGTTTTGAAGAGAATGCCGACACCAGGGATATTATGTGAATGTCTAAACTTGAAATGATTTCACACAAGACAGTTGCTTGGGGGAAATAATGTCATAAGGAGAAAGTTAACATGATGAGGGGCGGCACCAGAGTTTCTGTTAGGGGCGCAGGTCTAAAAGAGTGCTATCAGGAAGAAAAACAAATTTCTTACACTTTTATGAAACGGTATATTTCTCCGAAAAGAGCAAACAAATTTACTTGTTTTGGGGGTTAAACCATTGGTTGGCAATCGCCCTCTTTTCCCCTTGTCATGTCGCCCTAAATGGAGAAAAAGAAGAAATAAGAGATGAAAGCAAAGGGAGAGATGAAGGAAAAGGAAAAAAGAATGTGAGATAATATAAGGAGATAGATTGCTCATCAAAGATTGTACTATAATGTGCATGCACCTCTTGCAACAGAAATGATAAAGAAAAAAATCATGTTTTTATATGATGTCGAGTACTAAACCTGTAAACAGGAACCGGATTTCAGTTAAAGTATAAGCAAATTCTGATAAAAAATAAGAAAGTTATAAATGTTTGAACTTGCAATCAATCAAACACATATTGGTATTAAAGATGAAGTTAAGTTCTGGTCATGCGATTGCATTGTGAAAGAAACGGTGTGGAATTGACCAGAAAAGGTTGATCATCTAGCATATAAGAATTTGTGTGTATTGCAAGGTTCTGGAATCATCAAAATGATAAGAAATTTGGCCAAGTCTTGGTAAAGTTACAAAAACTGTACACAGAAAGAGGTATATGGGACTACACGAACATGTGGCGTAAAAATCCTACCCTGGATTTTTACGATGTTACTTGACATATTTAGAATATGAAGGCATTTGAAGAGCCATGCTTTTCAGGGAACATGTCTTATCTGATGTTCTTCCACACTTGCATAATAAGAATGATAATGCTCACAAATTATTTTTCACCTCTTCCCAGAACTCAACCTGCTCTTTAAACACTGACATATCTTGCGAGGTCCTCTCCTATTTGCTCTGTACATACAATTTCATTTTTATCATTATTGATGCAAGAATAGAGGGGTTGTATGGAAACAAATTTGCAACAATTATATTATATTTAGGGTGCATGTATGGTCAAAAACTTTCTTGAGGGAAAATGAAAATTTATGATTTCTTCTTTTTACTACAGAGCAAATAGGTGGGGACTTTGCAAGATACATCACAGATTTGCCAATTTGTGTTTGATTGATCACAGCTTTAAAAATTCAAACTTTTCTCATTTTTACTCTGAATTTGCTGAAATTTGCACCAACCTGTAACTCTCAAGTTCTGTTTCTATTAAAACCAACTTAATATCAGGGGAGAGATTGGGAGAGAAAGACGAGGAGATAGAAGAGGGGTAGAGAGAGAGAGACAAGTAAAGGGAAGGGAGATTGAATGATGGATAAGCGAGATAGTGAGGAAGGGGTGGTGGGGGGGGGGGGGGGGAGAGGCAAAGGAAGGCAGAGAAATTGTAAGAGAGAGTAAGAAAGAGACCAACAGTGTCAGAGAGAGAGATAGAGATATGGTGGATTCATGCTTATTTGTCAAGGGGGGGGGGGGGGGGTCTAAGAAACAAACACTGAGGCCCGAATTCACAAAGGAGGTTTTCGTGCGTCATATGACATGTTTGACGCGTTTTTACAAACCAGGTTTGAAAAAACATGAATCCACCAGATCTAAAAACGCGTCAAAATGAGTCATACGACGCACGAAAACCTAGGTTTGTCGACAAACCTCCTTTGTGAATTCAGGCCAAAGAGATATCAAATTTCTACAGGGATGGAGGTAAACATGAATTGTGTATATGATTTGATTTCAGTTTCTTATTTTTAACCAATTTCCTTGTTCCATGGAAATATATTAGGCTAGTATCGGTGTACTTGTATGATTATTAATAGAAACTTGTACGATCTTCTCTCAAAATTTTCCTTGTGTACACATCCTGTACAGATCCACATTGTTTTGGAATATAAATTTAATTGAGAACATGACAAATCAAAGTGCAAAGGACACTTTGTAAGTTAATTTTTCTTTTATTTACATTACAATGATATAGTATTAAATACTTGTTATATATATATATATATATATCTGTATTGCCTATGTCGGTGCACACTGGTTTCATGCCAAAATTTGAGAAATGGTACAAAGAAAGTGCAAACACACCCCAAAAATTAACCTTCAATGAAAAACTTAATTTTGTTTTTTCCCTTATAATATCTACATAATGATACTGAACATAATGCAGAAATAAACATTGTAACATAACTGCAAATTGAATACTGACTCTATTTTTACTGCTAAGTGAAGAGCTTAAAGGTTGGAAAATGCTGTCATTTTGTAAAGCACCTGAATGGGGAGATTAAAAGAAAAGACATCTCACAAACTTGTTCACCTCTGAATAGAGTGAACAATTAGAATCTTCAAAACATCTGAAATATACATGCTGCTTGTAAGTGTCGCTTGCATGGTGATGTAGATATACAGTAGGCTTGCGTGTGCTCCTGACGACGGATAGTCAACCTGTTCGAAAACGTCGAGCCACTCCCGCCACTCATCCTCTCCAAGCGCTATAGTTCTCCTTAGAACTATAAGCTAAGAAAGATAACCAACAGTCTTTTTCAAGACTATACCAAACAGTCCTTTTCAGGACTACAAACCCTCAAGAAAAATTACCAAGTTCTTTTCAGGACTCCTCAATCCTCCCTCTCTCTCACATGGTGCACCCCCAAGCCTATTGTATATCTGAAATATATATGGTATTAAAAATCAAAAATCAAATATGCAGCAAAGAAATATTAAACTTTGTTCTTTGCATTTGACCTCTGTATTATATACTAGATTGCAGTGAAAAACTGTGTGTGTCACTCATGAAAGCACATTCTTAATGCCCTTTATATTTGAATGCATACTTTAAAAAGGTTTCAACATCTTAAATCTGGCATATTAGCTTTACAGTTGTCAAACAAAACATCATACTAGACAAAGCTATACACATGACCTATATTAGAAAATAATAACATGATTTTACAATATGAGAAAATCACTTCCACTTTTCCCATTAATCTCCCTTAAATAAGATTCTTGCAGCGTATTTGCTCTGCCGGCTATTTGGCTTCAGAGAACCTCCTGCACGTCTGAAGCGCATAATGAATATTCATTTTGACTCGACTCATCAGATTAATGCACATAGAATATGTGCAAAATCTCCAATCCATGAGGTGTATACTATTGAGGCATATATGGCAATTAAATACTGAATCACAATGTCTTTCAGCATCCCACTTGGTCCTCATTTCTCTCCTGGGTATTGAGAAGGCAAAGTATATATTACAGTCAAACCTGCTGTAGAGACTACTTGAATAAAAGCACAGCCTGCCAAAAGAGACCAATTTTGTTGTGTCCCTTAAAAATGATTTCTCATTGAAACGTGTATTAATGAAACCTGTACATAATGACCACCTGCCAATAAAGACCCCTTTTCTTGACTCACTTGAATCTATACAGGTTTCAATGAACCACGCCAAGGGTCAGACCTCACTGATAGCTATAATAGACCAGTTCACGGTTAGCACCTTACTGCTATGACCCCGAATATCCACAGATCTTCAAAATATGAAGAGGTCCTACTTTGTACATTTTGAAATAATCACTCCTACAGCGATGGAGGTGCTTTATAAATAGCCTTTGTTCCCCCTTTTCAAAGAATACTTCCACCTGTGTACAATGGAGTGCACTGAATGTGCATGAATGAATAATGTTACATAACTTTCATGAGCACGTATCCAGTATTTCGTCTCCATGTATTTCTAAATTTGTTCTGCAATGACCTTTATCTGCTCATGCTCAGACTGCAACCGTGAACTGGCTTATTATAACAAGAACTAGATATTTCATTAAAGTTACCTTTAGTTGCCCTACTATCATAAACGTGCAAACTCATATGTACACATAATGCCCAACCTTACAACTTTGTTGGACCTAGCTAGTGCTGAGCAGATCAGCCAGCTCGGCACATGCTAAGCACTAGGTACATGAGAGGGCTAATAGCTCACTTGAAACTTTGAAAAGGTCAGTAGTTGTCAAAAATGATTCAGCATTCTATATCTTAGTGAAAGAAGTGAATAATGTCGATTTGAAAAAGGGAAAGGCATTCCTTATTTCAAACCTGCTAACACTGTATAGGAACTTACTACAGCTAGGTCAAAAATTCCTGGAGAGTTTTGAAAAGCTCTTGAGGAGCTTGTCTGCAGCAATCCCTGAGGTGCATCTACCAGCCATTACCTCCTCCTCCCAATGCTTGATCTCTGTTAGGAGCTCCTGACTCTCCTTGAACTCTTCCATCATCCGATCCTTGATGTGCTGCCACATCCACACCCTCCTCTGGCGCTGTCGCTTGGTGGTGAACTGGCCGGCTTCCATCATGATGCCTCGGTACTCTTCCATGGTATCCCATGCCTTGCTCAGGCCATCACCGGTCTTGGAGGACACCTGTTTGACCTGAAAAGGGTGTCCATCACAAAGAAAACATTACCACGTTAATGTACTAAGAATGAGCAGACTGCTGAAAGTCTGGTGTTTAATAGATGTAGTAACTTCACTTTGTCAGCAGATGTCCTGTAGGCCACTGTTTTAAACTCGGATAACTGTGTATGAATTAAATTTAAGAATATTTATTCTAAGCATAACAGAAGCACATGGCAAATATAATTGATGTATTCTCTGTCTAACATAATATAACTAGATGGAAGTTCGACTGAGCGCAGTCGAAAATGATGCCTCCGCCTTAGAGCAATTTAACAAACCAAAACAGAAACAATTTTTATAATTCAAGTTTGATTGTAATCCATCTGTCGGTTTTAATGATAATGCATGCACAAGCTATTTATAGGCATACATAATGAGCCATGTGACCTTTGACCTGATGACATCAAAATCTAATTAGTTTATTGGCTCTGCAAGATACATACATGACTTGAGTTTGATAGTAATCTGTCTATTGGTTCTCATGATAATGCAATCACAAGCTATTCGTGGATACATAAAGAGCCCTGTGACCTTTGACCTGGTGACCCCAAAATCTAATCAGTTCATTGGCTCTGCAAGATACATACATGACCCAAGTTTGGCGGGAATCAATCAATCGGTTCTTGAGATAACGTGATCACGAGAACGGTACGTACGTACGTACGGACGGACGGACGGACAGATCGACGGACGGACAACCCAAAAACATAATGCCTCCGGCTACTTTGTAGCGGAGGCATAAAAATTTCAAATTCTGTAAAAGAAGGAACACTGATGACAGAACCAAAAATCACTACCAGTATTTCATACTAACAGTTATATGCTAATTAACCTCTATTAGAGTTGAATTGTAAAATCTGCAAATTTGTTGCCAAACTGAACGATATGGTATACTTTAAAAACCTAGCATGTATCTTTCACAACTTACTTAAGACTGCCTTTTTGGTAGCAAGAAACTTTCACTCATTTCAAAGATTCTGTGCTGTAATTGAATTATTTTGAGGAGTGTGAAGCTAATCCGGAACAGTAACACTGTTTTCTCAAGTTTCTGGTTTTACACTAGTGAGGATGCCCCAGCATTACCCAAACTGTAACTCGTGACTGTTAATTTGTTAAATAAGAGCAGTTTCTTACCTTGGGGGCCCACAATGGAGACCTCTTATACATGAGCTTCACAGCGCTTGTATACTCGCTCCTAATCCTACGTGCTGGGATGAGAAGCTCACCGTCTGCCTTGTTGATGAGGATGAAGTCTGCCCTCTCTACGATCCCCTTCTTAAGACCCTGGAGCTCGTCGCCCCCTGCTGGTGGGATCAGGAGAACCAGCATGTCCACCATGTCCGCTACAACGTATTCTGATTGGCCAACACCTGTACAGTACAACATAAAATCGTTGAATATTTATTTTGATCTCTGTCATTTGTGTACACTTGCATGCAACCTAACTGTACCTAGATAGTAGGCTGTTACCCTACTGCTTTCATCCTGAAGTAGAGCTAGGAAATGTCAAGTTACTTGAAACTTATGAATCTAATCACTTACCAAAGATAATATTATATCATTATAATTAATATGATAGACCAAAACGTTTTTCATGTACAGGGAAGAATTTGTAAACTGCAACACTGATTTAACCCTCTCATTACCAAGATCACATTTTTGCTCCATTACAAACATTTAACGCAGTGCCCTCTCATTATGACTCATGATTGGGAAGCTAGAAAGTATAGTGTTATGGTGAATATAAACACTAGGGGAATTTACAGGGTCTTTTTTTAATACATTTGAATAATGTGGCAGAATTCAATTATGTATTTAGTAACCATAGTGTCTGGAAAGAAAAGGATTAAAAACAAAGCTCTCATAACCCTCCAGTTCACCTATTTGATCTTCATCACACTCATACCTATTGTTTCCACAATGATGACATCATAGTTTGCTGCCTCACATAGTAAGATGGTATCATTGGTGTTCCTTGTCACACCCCCTAGAGTTCCAGCAGAGGGCGACGCCCTGATGTAGGCGTTGGGATCCCTTGAGAGCTCTGTCATCCTTGTCTTATCACCAAGGAGAGAACCTAATCAATGATTGAAAAAATAAATAAATGAATAATAATTTAACAAATATATTTTAGTAAATAACTAACAAATAAATGAACAGATATATAAATAGTAAATAAATAAATAAAATATATAAATAAATACAAATATGACAATAAAAACAACAATACTACTTCCAAAAATATCATTTAAATGAAGAAATTAAATATTCAGTTTATTTATGAAGTACCTCCACCACAGGATTTAAGGAGATTGAACATCATAATTGTCCCAGTTTTAGGGAAGCTGCAATGTACCATGATAGAGTGCATTGAGAGTGCACTCAACAATTCTATTTTATTTTATTTCTATAAGGTACTCTGCATTTTACTCAAATTTAGATAAATGTATTGTCTTGACAAAGGACACTGAGGCTATGCCAGTGACTCAACCCATAACCTTTATATCTGTCTGCAGCCTGATGTTTAAACTGCTTGACTATGACACCCAACTTTCAAGAATATTGTTCAAAAAAGTTGCAAGCATGGTCACAAGAATGAGATCCTATTTGCTCTCACCTCCAGTAATCGATGATGAAGGATCAACAGCAAGAACAGCCACACGGTGGCCCTCTGCGGTCAGTTTCTTTCCAATCGCTTCAATGAAAGTAGACTTTCCAGCGCCAGGGGGACCAGTCAATCCTACATGAAAATGGCAAAATAATGAATAGAAAATAGAAAACATTGAAAAGATCTGTCTCTTTTTTATTTGTGCAAATTGTTTGGCAATGCAGTGGGACATTTTAAAGTCCCAGATATCAGTAAATGAGATCGGACAGTACATATGAAATCATCCGAGAGAACTGATATACTTTCATGATTCAACACCAAATGTATAATATTACCAATAAAAACCTTTGAAATCTAAGGAGCATTAACACAAATTTATAGTTTTTTTTCCATATACTAAATTGCTTTATTTTCAATGAATATCAATATGGTGAATCATAATGTGATTTTTATAGCAGCCCCTTCCCTCCCATGCAGTATAACCATCTTTCCATGTTTAACTTCCCTAAAAGAAAGTGGGCAAGTTTGTAAAACCTTGAATCTGAAAGATAAACAACAAAATCTAGTGCTTCACAATATTAGGGCTTCAACCTTTTAGATTCAGAATGACCCCCCAATTAAATATAATTATTTGATTGAGAGTCACAAAAATAGGTAATGGATAGATACATCATTCATTGTTAATGAAGTTCTTCAATACCTATTCTAAATGAAGGAGGTGTTCCTCTGTTCTTCAGCTGCACTTCTCGAAGGTGGTCCAGGACTCTTCTCAGTAGGACCTGGGCTTGTCTCTTCCCCTTCTTATGGGTTGCTTCCACCAGAGTTATGGCTCTTGCAAGAGCCCATCTCTCACCAGCCAACAAAGCATTGCTCAGCTCCTGTGCATAGATCTCTTCCTGCTTCCTATCCTCTTGTACAGCAGGATGCTTACAACACATATTCAATGTCTCATGATGGTTATCAGATGACGACATTGAAAGATGTCTTGCTGATTTCAGTTGCGAGCTTTTGGACCATGCCGATCTTATTTTACTGCAAAGCTTAATTGAGCAAGGGGCCGAAGATGAAACCGAGGACTGTACATTTTTCTTTGTACTTACTGCCTGATGGAACGGAAGTAAAGTTGAGAAGTTTCTTTTTGGTATACAGTAAGACAATGTTTCTTCTCCATGACTACTCACAGAATTACAGCTACACATACTTCCATTTCCTTGGGGTATATGTCCTCGGCCATTTAAATTGCTCTGAGGCACTATGTCCAAAGCAGAAAAGTGACCGGTGTTGATTAAAGTTTCAACGCACCTTGCAGCAGTGGGAAATGTTTGCAGCATACTGCTTCCTAGCTTCACTCGACAAGAATGACAGATTGCAGCCATTTTCCCATGATCTATGCCAATGGATTTCAGCCTCTGAAACACAGCACTCATTATGATAAAGTGAATGCTTCTTTGCTAGCTAGAAGAAAGACTTGCCAGTAAACCTGTAAATTAAAAATTCAGCAAAGAGTTGGTAATCAGAAAATTATTTATCAAGCCCAATAATCCTCAAAATATTCAATCATGATACATGCACCCTAAATATGATAATTAGTTAATTACAATACTGTTTCTTTAAACCCACTGTTTGGGAAAAATTAAGATCTATTCTGTTATCAATAACGAAGAAAACAAATTTTGCGTTCAAGGTAATAATAATAATTATAATTGCTTATATAGCACCTAACACTTACTTTATCAGAAGTCTCTAAGCGCTCTACAATAATGCAGCATAATTACCCTGGCTTTAGCAGTGCAGCTGTTACGCACGCTGCGTTTCAAGGAATAAATTCCTACCAGGTCCCCATTTACTTCACCTGGGTGGAGTGTGGCAAATGTACAGTGTAGATCAATATCTTGCCAAAGGACATTAGTGCCGCGAAGGTAAATGCGAAGGGAGCTCACAATTAAGATATGTCACAGAGTTGCAATTTTTTTTGATTGATCGCAACTTCAAAAATTCAAAACTTTCTTACGTTGTAATGGAATTTAGTCTACTGGAACTTTCTCTGACCTGACGTTCCTTTCAGTTTTCTGCTTCTAGTTAAAACCAACTTAATATCATGCAGGGTGGACTTATATGGCAAAGCCAAAGACTAGTAAGCAGCTAAAAATAATGTAAACCAAATACATCATATAGATCTATATGTATGTAAACTTCATTTACAGAGCCATGTCAAAAAATTACTTTCCAAAATACACTCAGCTCATTTCACGTCGTCACATCATCATGTTCACAATCACAGAAACCAATTCACTCTAAAACTTGAACTGAAATTAAAATTAATGTTGTAGGTGTTTAATTTGACTACAGTCGATATCAGAGATCCCGGGTTCGACTCCCACCGAGGCGGATGACTGAAGCCTGCGTTGTGTGTTAACGTGCCCCTTCCCTTGTTCATAGACGCAGGTTATGTCAAGTGGAAAACACTCCGTCCCTCGGATAGGACGTTAAATGGAGGCCCCGTGTACAGGAGAGTCACCACCCTTGCCCGTTAAGAACCCAAATCCACTTTTCGTATAAGAGTAGGGGGAAACCCCGGTGTAATGGTCCACCTGCACACCCCAATCAGGCCCAGTATACGGCATCTGCAAGAATCTTCAGTATTGAAGGAGGCAGATTATCTTGAAGAAGAAGAAGAAGAAGAAGAAGAATTAAGACTAGGGAAGTCTATAGGCCTAGACAATTAATCACAATGCCATCAATCATCATGATTATAACAGTTGTTAATCATTAATGTTATCAAATATTAATAAATGTGAACGCCAAAAAGTTCAACTTACTGATTTTATACATTGGAAGAATAAGTGAATCAGCGAATCTCGTCTTTTGACCTTATAATTTTGATAATTATCCGCATTTTTAAATTGAAGTGAAGGCTCTGCCAGTCGGGTCTGGATCTGCTATGCTAACTTAGTCTTTTAAACATCCTTGGATATTAAAAGAAGAAGTGAATGAATTCAAATACTCCATATAATTGCCTTTTTATATTTCAAAAAATTCATATTTAATATCTAAATTAGATTTATATCCAATTTTAAGATCATTTTGGGGGATAAAATGAGAATTGTTATAGATTTATTTTCGCATAATATTCTAAACTTTAATGCATGAGACTATTTCAGCAAAATGGCAGCCTCCATGCTCACACGCAGAAGTTTGTTTCGTGCAGTACAATCTGCAAGATTATCATCCCCAACGTCCTTTGCGTGCAGAAAATTACAAGATGTTTATCAAGGTCATTCTGTGACACAAAGACGAAATTTCAATGACCTTCTTGGTGACAAAACTGTGCGGATTGGGTGTGCTTCTGGATTTTGGGGAGACACTGCAGTATCAGGTACCGTATCATCATCATGATCATGACAGAGGCTCTTCGCGCGGATCCGGGACCCGGCTACTCCCGGCGCGGCGCTATACCACCGGCGGCCAAGTCCAGAGATGCCAACCCTCCCGATTTCATCGGGAGGCTCCCGATAATTCACCCCAACTCCCGACCTTACGATCACCATCCTTATCCTCCCGATTTATTTAAAAAAAAAAAAAAAAAAAAAATTTTTTTTTTTTTTTTTTTTTTTAATTATGATTTTTTTTTGGGGCGCTTATCAGTATATATATCTGTGAATTGAATGAGAAATATCGTCTGCTAACTTTAGCATGTAGTAATTCCACTATGTTAAAAGACATATAAAAGACAAAGAGTAGCGAAAGATTGTTTCAGCATACATGTATGGATCGCTGTAACCAATGCGTGGATATTGACACAGTATCCAAATGGCGGAAAATCAGCAAAAGAAGACCAAGAAATGGTCTCAGAAGTATAAGACCGAATACAGTATCAAGTACCCCTGTATTCGGAAGTCTGAAAGGAATTCATCATGCATTTTGTACAATTTGTATGTTATTTTTAAAAAAAGTGGGAATTATTTAACTAAATACACATGTAAAATGCTGCAAAATAAGGCTCAGATTGCACCAGAGAGCATCTAGAACCCCAGAGCTTCCAGGGCCCTAAAGCGGGCCCTGGACCCCGGCCGCTTGGGTCGGGCGCTACGCGCTCGAGATGTGCGCTACGTGCACATTATTTGGTGTCGGTTACAAATCCTCCCTATTTCTGTTTTCCAAAAGTTGGCATCTCTGCAAGTCGTGTAAATGGGCGGGGCTGTGCTTAGACCGAATTTTCCGTCTCTTTCGTTCGTTAGCCTCTTATTGGGGTAGGGTCGGCTCTCTCTTTAGAGACGGAAACCGTCTATACACATTCCCTTGATAACGCCACGGCCATTTCAGGTCGTAGCGTTTTGCCCCCAAAATCCCCCAAAATGTCATTTTACCTCGTGCATTTTATATTGTAAATTAGGCCTAGGCTATAATAAATCAGTTCCACTTACCAACTTGACTGAAATAATCAGTTTAATAGTCCCTTTTTAGGAATTTATGGGTCAAAATCGAAATCCATTTTGAAAATCTTTTTCAACATGGATTTCGATTTTGACCCATTAATTCCTAAAAAGGGACTATTAAACTGATTATTTTAGTCAAGTTGGTAAGTGGAACTGATTTATTATAGCCTAGGCCTAATTTACAATATAAAATGCACGAGGTAAAATGACATTTTGGGGGATTTTGGGGGCAAAACGCTACGACCTGAAATGGCTGTGGCGTTATCAAGGGAATGTGTATAGACGGTTTCCGTCTCTAAAGAGAGAGCCGGCCGACCCTACCCCAATAAGAGGCTAACGAACGAAAGAGACGGAAAATTCGGTCTAGGCTGTGCTCTGCGCTCCTGAGCTGAAATGGGCTGAGCTCTGAGCCCGCAATCACACATATTCTTGACAGTTGCAACATAGATCTAGGTCTAGTCTATTAACTTAAAGACTAAGTTTTGAATTTTCGATGCGCGATTGATCTTTAGAATTCATGTAAAAAGGTAAAAGTGAGGAGCCAGATGTAATCTTAGCGGAACGACCGTCGATATCAGAGACTGAAACTTTGGGTAAAGTATAGAACCTAGTATTGTAATCGTATCTTTCAAGGTTCCAAAAAGAAAAAAATCAAAAATCAAAAATCATTTTGGTACTTTTCATGAAAGAGTAAAAGCAAAATGCATTTTAACAATTTTGACAAAGAAGACAATTCGTTGTACCCCCCCCCCCCCCCAATGCCTGTACCAAGTCCCTTTAATTGATTGTCAACCGCCCCCTGGCCATATGCCTGCATGAAGAGTGATGTAAAAGAAATTAAATGCATTTGTAATCAAACATTCCTGCACCCGTCAAACCTTGCAAACTTTGCCAGCTGGGGGCCGTTTCTCGAAACCAACTCCATGACAGTCATATCTTTGTCGCCGACCTACGGAGATGTCATGAAGTGGATAAACCGTTTCACAAAGCCATGACAGACATGATATCGATATATCGCGATACTAGCAGCTCTAGAAGATAGTCTTTGCCACGATCCATTTGATTTATCAAGAATAACCCAAAACAAGTTTTAGGGCTAAAATTGTTCAAAAAGAAATATATACATATAAATTCTCCTAAAATAAATAATAAATAGTGTCATTATCAAATGTAGATCATCAAACGATTTGCATATTTCTGTAAAGATTCTTAAATTGAAGAAGAACCGGTGAGTGTTTTTTTGTTGACAGTCGAATCAAAAGTTAGTTGAAGGATACACCGTAATGTGATAGTTTATCAATACATACTTTTTTGTTTATTGTGACAAGGAATTTTAGGCAAAATACCTTTTCTCAGCTAGTTTTTATTCTAGAGTCTCATAAATACTCGTTATATAATTGATTTGATATTGAAAATATAATTTGGAAGAAGTAATTAGAGAGGGAATAATAATGCACATAGGCCCCAAAGGTATGACGGTATCCTAAGAAAAGACTATGGATCGACTATGGAAAACGGTGTGTAACATTCTTATCTCTCTTATTTATATGTTATAGTTTAATGATTTGTGATTTAATGTTTATATTCAGCTTTTTAAAGTTTCTGTATAATTTGTATTCTCACTTTTGTGCATTTGCATTTCGCATCCCAGAGAATTACGTACCGAACTCGTCTATATTTTTCTCAAAATGATAGTGAAACTAATCGTACATTTCGCGGCCCATGGAATGGCAACAAACTGACATGTGATGGCGCTTTACAGCAATTAAAAAGATATGACGGGTTCGGAGCAGTGACAACTCGCTTGTCGCGGAAGTTGTCGCTCATCTTGGCAAAGACGGCTTCGTGAAACACTTAGCTGACAAGTTGCGCGACAGTGGCGAGATGTCGTTGATCTTGTAGTTATGACGGTTTCGAGAAACGGCCCCCTGGTGGACAGTGGAATCTTCTTTCTTCTTGTACAAAGCATGTTGAAATCAATTGGGGGAGTGGAAAGATTATTTTTATTTCTTTAATTTATTTATTTATTTATATAGTTATAGTGTCTAACTTTATTTATTTGTTTATATATTTATTTATTTATATATAGCGGTTTATTTATTTATAGGGTCTATGTCTATTATTTATGTATTCATTCAATCATTTATTCCTGTTATAATTTTGTATTTTTTGCTTGATTCTCCTTCTTGCAGCACCTCAGTTAGTTCACCATGGCAAGATTGATTATCTTGTATTTGATTACCTGTCAGAGATTACCATGTCCCTTCTTGCTGCTGCCAGGAGGAAAAACCCAGTAAGTGATTTTGTGTGGCTGCTCCATTTTGTTTTTACAAATTGTTCAGATTAATTTAGAATGTTATTTCATAGATGAGCTCATTGTCACCTACAAGGATAAAGAGTTGGATTAGGAACTTATTTATTAAGTTAAAGATTTTTTGCATTCAAGTGATTGTAAGCTGCAAATGTGATGCCCTACATATAGTCCTAAGAGGAAGGGAAAAGTTGTTCTCTATTCCTCATATGGACTCTTTGTTTTCAAAATAAAGTATTCAGCTTAACTTTGGCTGAGGTACTGAGTGTTCTAAGGTCCCTGTGAATTATTTAAATAATATTTACTTTCATCTTTTGTAAGTTTTTGTGTTCATCAGTATGGATAAGGAATCCATTCACTTTTCAGGGATACATCTTGACAGAATAAAATCATAAATTTGTTTTTATCAATTGCTAATATTGTATATCTGTTGTTATCAATGGCTAATATTGTATATCTGTTTTGATCAATGGCTAATATTGTATATCTGTTTTGATCAATGGCTAATATTGTATATCTATTTTGATCAATGGCTAATATTGTATATCTGTTTTGATCAATGGCTAATATTGTATATCTGTTTTGATCAATGGCTAATATTGTATATCTGTTTTGATCAATGGCTAATATTGTATATCTGTTTTGATCAATGGCTAATATTATCTGTTTTGATCAATGGCTAATATTATCTGTTTTGATCAATGGCTAATATTATCTGTTTTGATCAATGGCTAATATTGTATATCTGTTTTGATCAATGGCTAATATTGTATATCTGTTTTGATCAATGGCTAATATTGTATATCTATTTTGATCAATGGCTAATATTGTATATCTGTTTTGATCAATGGCTAATATTGTATATCTGTTTTGATCAATGGCTAATATTGTATATCTGTTTTGATCAATGGCTAATATTGTATATCTGTTTTGATCAATGGCTAATATTATCTGTTTTGATCAATGGCTAATATTATCTGTTTTGATCAATGGCTAATATTATCTGTTTTGATCAATGGCTAATATTGTATATCTGTTTTGATCAATGGCTAATATTGTATATCTGTTTTGATCAATGGCTAATATTGTATATCTGTTTTGATCAATGGCTAATATTGTATATCTGTTTTGATCAATGGCTAATATTATCTGTTTTTTATCAATGGCTATTATTGTTCTGTTTTTATCAATGGCTAATATTGTATATCTGTTTTTATCCAATGAGGACATGGGCTATGCACCCGACTTTGTGCAGGTCATCATCAAGCATCTCTTGCATGATATCAAGAAGAAAGGAATCAAGGTGATAAGCAATGCCGGAGGAATCAACCCTCATGCTTGTGCAGCGGCCATTAAGCAAGTGGCAAAGGATGCAGATATTGATATCAAGGTTGCTGTCGTGTCCGGAGATAACCTCATGGTTGATGTAAGTTCATTCATTTGTTCCAGTTCCATCTTCTTCTTGGTTCTTGGTTGGTTGGTCCTTCAAAATACTCGTCTGAGTTTTAACTGGAGGTGCGGGTAGGGTGTATTAATTTGTAGATGGGGAGTTTTTGTTTCTGAATTGTTTAAACTTTGTTCCATAATAAGTCTACATTTATACATGTACATGTACATTTCTTAAAGCGTTTTTTTTTTGTTAACCAGGATGACGCAAGGCATCTCCAGGAGTTGCACAAGAGAAATTCAGTTATATCAAAATTTATCTGGGAAAAAGGTCAGTTTCTTGAAAAATTAGAAACTGCTCTGTATTTTCATGAGGAAATATTATTTTAAAGTAAAGATAGGAAAGATTTGAGTGATGTGAAACTTTTTTTTTCTTAAATAAAAGATTCCCTTTTCAAGATAAAAACTTTGAAAAACGCTAAATATGGCATTGCCAAAACTAGTATATTGCATTGCAAAGTTTTATACTATTTCCATCATTACTGAAGATTTTGTTGTTCTTTGTAAGATAGTGTTACTTTTTAAGAGTATTTCATTTACACATCTCATGATAATTATATATATAAGATAACGTATTGCTAGGTTTTTTGTTTTCCTATCTCATTCATATAATAAAGAAATTACATAAGAAGGAGCCAAGCATAATAATGGAGAACAAAATATATAATCATGAATTTTGTCACCATTTCTTTCAGAAAAAAGCTGTGTATGCCACAAACCCAACAGATCTTGATTCTGGAAACCCTTTGCCTGAATCACTTGTAACAATGAATGCTTACTTTGGGTGAGTCAAGAATTGTGTACCATGATTATTATTATTTTTCTGACCCATCCTTGTGCAGGTTTCTCTATTTTATTTCTGTGTTTTCCCCTCCTATATTATCTTTACAATAACTCTATTTTTGTTACATGCCACATTATTTCTTAGTTTTCTCAATTGTTATTCTCTCTCTCTCTCTCTCTCTCTCTCTCTCTTTAATACAAAATGTATTTATTGTTAACATGGATCAAAATTAGGAATGACTGTTCTCTGGTTCATCATATTAAGTGAATTACTATCTGGACTGTCTGAAAGGCTATTGAGATATACAAGTAAATCAATCATTTGCATGATAACCACGTACAGTGGATGTATCATTCAACTACAAGTACTGTAGTCATGGATACTGCCTGCTGAGAGTCACAAGGGCTTATCAATCATTTGCATGATAACCACGTACAGTGGATGTATCATTCAACTACAAGTACTGTAGTCATGGATACTACCTGCTGAGAGTCAGAAGGGCTTTATCTGTATGTGGAGAGCTATACGTCAATGCCTTTCTTCCTCTCAGCAAATAATTTGTCCATGCTTATTGTTAGATTGTTAGTTAATAAAAAATGATTTGCTGGAATTCAATTTAAATCCTGAAATACCTTTGGTATAATTTCATTGATTACAGAGCAACGCCAATAGCCCGGGCCTTGGACCTAGGTGCTGATATAGTTGTGACTGGTCGATGTGTAGACAGTGCTGTGGTACTAGGACCCCTCATGCACACGGTATGTATTCACAAAACACGAAGAGTTTGGGACCTTACTGAATCAATACAACTAATCTATTCAGAAGTATCATTAAACCTTTTTTTTTTTTTTTTTTTTTTTTGGGGGGGGGGGGGTTCCATTATTGTTGTTAGTTAGTCTGGTCACTTGAAGGTTAGAACACATTAGTTTGTCTGTTCATCTGTGTTTAACACATAATTCTGTCTGTTTGTCTGTTTGTCTGTTTGTCATTAATTTGTTCTCTGTTATTGTTGATAGTTTGGCTGGTCACCTGAGGATTATAACACGTTAGCTGCTGGCAGTCTAGCTGGTCATCTGGTCGAGTGTGGGGCTCAGGCCACCGGTGGTGTCTTTACTGATTGGCATCTTGTACCTGATTGGTGAGCTATTACAATAGAAGCACCATCAAACTCCCTCCTCCCAATTTAAAAGTGCCCCTGCCCCCACCCTTCCATGATATATCACAATGAGTAGTATTGCACTAGGTCACCTTTTTTATTGCAATATATTTTGTTCCTGATTGGTGATTGATAATCTAGATACTAGAGCTTTTAGAAGTACAATCTAGTACAAAGACGGTACATGAGGCCCCTGGGGGCATGGGGCATATTGCCCCCCCCCCCCATAAGGATTAGGAACATATTTGTTTTCTCCCCATTGGCACGGCATCTCAATTGGTGATATTGCATTATGATTTCACAAAAACAATGGGTATCTGCAAATGAATCTTAGCTCATAATGAAGGAAGTGAAATAGAGCATTCATGGGTACTTTTTTGTGCTCTGCGATCACTAGAATATGTTTACTACAAGTATACTAGCAACATATGTGTCTTTTTTTTTGTAGCTGCACAATATTTATAGGTGATAGTTATGTATTAAGATATAGAGATGTAATCATACACTGAACATTCTTGTCTTTCCCTGCTCTCTTCTTCAGGGACAACATTGGGTTTCCAATTGTCCAAGTTGCCCCTGATGGAAAGTTTGTGCTCACCAAGCCCCCAAAGACCGGAGGTCTCGTCAACAAGGCAACAGTTGGTGAGCAGCTGGTCTATGAGATAGGAGATCCCAGAGCCTACATGCTTCCAGATGTGACCTGTGACTTCAGCCAGGTCAACCTAACAGAGGTCAAAGGTCAGTTGTTGAAATATACTGTACCGGTATGTCTTCTTAATGTTTTTTCAGTGGGGTCCACATATTAATACAGAGAAGCTAATGGGGTATGTGATTCTAATACCATACTTGAAATTAAACCTGTCAGTTGGGAATTTGATCGGATTGGAAGATCGTAGCGACACCCTCGCACCTGTGATCGGTATCGGCAAAAAAAATTGGCATAATATTTTTTTTTAAATGCCAACATTTTTCAAGTTTTTGCCTATCAAATGCTTTAAAAAAAATGCATAGCTGACATTATTTTGTCATTTGGAGTTGTTGTAGACCATGTTTGGTGATATTTAGTGCCTTTTCATGACTTTGAAATTAATAATGTTGGTCTAAGAGAAGAGGCAAAACATGCTGGCCGCTATCTTGGATTATAATAAAAAAAAAAACCTAAGCATTATTTTACCTGAAGGAGCTTTAATATTTCATATCATGGTGTGTAGGAATAAAATTGATGTCATGCACACAAACTCAAACACTCAATGTTCTTTTAGAGTAATCACATTTTCTTTCTTATCATGGACATAGTAAACATATGAGATACCAATCTTGACTAATTACCTATGTAAAAATATGAAATACAAATACACTTTAATATTTGACATGTTAGCTATAAATGCTCAGGCAGTAAGTTTGCAGTGTTTGATCATGCAAGGACTAAGAAATAAAAGGATCGCTTTCTTTTTCCCCCTTAAATCTTCATGAAATCCATTTAAAAGATCTAGTTAAAACTCTGATAACATCACCCTCAAAGTCATTCATAACTATTGTGTCGTTTTTGAGGTTTTGCAACTTGAACTCGTGTTGCATACTTAGTGACACCCTGTATCCACCATCAATTAGTAGAAGACAGTAGAATTATTTGTGTTGTTTTGTATAGTCATAAAACACATGTGTTTTGCAGAGTAATGAGCAGACAAAATGATATCTGCTTGGATCCAGAAGTGTGCTTCTTATTATTCATGTCATTTAATGTAACCCATCGACTACTGAATTCTCTTATTCCATCAGCTTTTAATATACAGAGGCCACATGGTTCCCGTATGCAATGGGTTAAAGACAGTTGCTTACTGCTCCTCTGTCAACAATATTTGCAATAAACCTTTGGTTGGAGACAGAGAAATGTAAATGAACACGCTGCTAATTATGTTTCACACACCCAAAATACTTTTGTTTTGGTCAAATGTAGATGAAAATGGAGATGGTGTTTTAGTGACTGGTGTGAAAGGCTATAACCCTAGTGATAGCTACAAGGTCAGTGCAACATACCTAGAAGGATACAGAGCCACTGCTGTATCTACGATCGCAGGCCGAGATGCCATCGCCAAGGGAAGACGAACAGCAGAAAGCCAAATCAAAAGGTATAGATCATTAGGATAAACATTTAGCATTATTTTCAAAAAAGGACCCCCATCTGCGAATCAGCCACTCTTGAGATACTATACTTGAAAACAGAATGTTCTGCATCAAATACATTGAAATTCTGTGTTTAAGAATGACAAGAAGGCTATAAGAATGATAATTATTAGCTGAGAACTGCTATTTTTGTTTTTCTCCAATATTTTCAGATAGATGCAAATGGACAAGTTCAATTTTGTAGATTTTTATATTTACATATATGTCTTTTTTTTTATTTGTGTTTCATTTATGATCATTATATTTGATTCCCCATTCATTTCACTGTGTTTAAAATGTGTTTTGATCATGTTTAATTCATGTTTTGATTGTAGGATACGAAAAATATTCAAGATGTTTGGGATGCAGGACTTTACCAGAGTTCGTATACAGGTAAATAGAAAAGAAAATATCTGAAAAACTGAAGGAAATGTATCCCTTTAGATGTTCCTTTTGAATTTTGGAAGTTTATTTTAAAAAGTAATACCTCAATAGCACTTCCTTACCAGCTTCAAAATGGATAGATTCTAGGCCATTAAATTGGTCTCATCGTGTGACTTATAAAGTATAAGCCTATAATGCTATGGGAATCAAGAGCAAGAGTATAGATAAGAGGTGACAATGTTGAGAAATTCTTTTTACTCAAGTTTAAACAAGGACTACCGGTAGAATAAGTATCAGGGCTATCTTGTCATATGAATGTCATGTAGTTTGTACACAATCATAGATTTATGGCAAGACAAAGCTATCATGCATTACCATCCGAGAATTTAGCATAAGCCTCGAGATTTTATTCAGTTAATAACATGTTGACTATTGAATTCTCTCATTCCCATAGGCTTAAAGGCATCGTTTAACAATGTTAAATCTGAAATGCACGACCCTGCTTGGTATCAGTGTCTGTGATATGGTGTAATATGGAAGCTCTAAAAAAATTGCGCTTCAAAATGATCAAGAAGTAAAAGACTCAAAAAAGTAAAAAAAAACTTTGAGTGACCGGTTTTACCATACTCGTTTTCCCAGTAGACTGTAGTGTTATGAAAACAGTTAGGCAAACGCAAAAGTTGGTTTTGATTTCCAATCATAAATATCTTGATAATCAGACAGGCGATCGGCTTGTAAATTTCATGGGGTTCCTGACTGACCTAAATGTTTATAGTTATCATTGCAGCATGAACAATTTTTGAAGATTTTGTTTCAGAATCTGAGACAAATTTACCGGATCCCTTTAATATAGAAAGTGAAACCACAGTTCCCTATAGGCAAGGCATTAATAGCCCTACTAAAGCTTGGATCAGACAAGATATGAAGAGAAATGATACATTTGATGTCAATTTATGTTCATTATCTGCAATACTTGGTAATATATGGAACACTAAGTGACTTTGGACTTGCCCTTTTAAGGCGTTTATTAACCTGATATATTGTATATAGTGTGTACCTCCGTTTCACTATATGGTGCTGTATTTGTTACCTTATACAATATTTCTTTATCCAAACTTGATGTGAATATCCTCTTTTATGTAAGTTCAATATCTATTTTCTTTACACCCCTTTAATAATAGATGATAGGTTCGGAGGAGACGTATGGAGCTAATGCCAGGGACCTTAACCCACGAGAAGCTGCACTCTGGCTAGCCGTAGAGCACCCTCAGAAAGAAGCCTTACGGATCTTTGCCATGGAACTTGCCCCTGCTGGAACAGGCATGGGTAGGTCATACAATACATGTCTTGATGTTGTAAAGCATTTTGCATTTGTCATCAATGCTTTTTCTATTGTGCTTATATGAAAAGCTCTTTCCCATCCTCTCCTGTTTTTAATTTCTCTACCCCCCCCCCCCCCCCCCTCTCGATTTTGCTTGACTTGAAATTGAATGTGATTAACATGGTTCGTGGTTCCAGTCCTGCCGCTGCACAAATGTCTTTGGCAAGACATTAATTTACATTTGCCACTCTCCACCTAGGTGAAGTACATGGGTACCGGTAGGAAGAAATTGTTTGAATGCTTCAGCGCCTTATGATGGCGGCTCTGCTACAGCCGGGTAATAATATGATACTTTGTATGAAGCGCAGTAGAGTATATTAATATAGTAGCTGTGCTATATTAATAGACCTGTTATTATATTTAAAGATTTAAAAGTGGTGTCTTATTGTTGTCGTATCAGTCTTTTTGTTGTTGTCATGCTTTAAACCCTATACATCATTTTTTTCTGTTTCTACCCCCACCATTTTCTATATCTCTCTTTTTCTTTTCTGTGCTTTTCCCTCTCTCCATCTCTTTTCTTTTAAATGAATTCTTAGCTCCTGGTCTGACTGGCCTCATTGGTGGAAGACCCAAAACGTAAGTTTCCCCTACATGCCTTCAAACATGTATACCGTATTTGCCGGCGATAAGGCCGCAGCGCCGTATAGGCCTCACCCCCGATTTTGATTTTTAAAAAAAATTAAAAAATAAAAAATCACCGCCTTAGACCGCTCTGCCATCCCGCACTGATGCTAGCATATGGACTTTTCTGTGATGTATACATTGCGCCTCTCTCTTGTGTATTGAAATGGATTCAAAATAGCGACTTTGCGTGCTGGATGCTTCGCGGCAGCTCCATTAAACGGGCCCTTCTTTTACTTATGCAATGCATTGGCACGAACTTAGATCAAGATCTATCGGCAGATGTTGTTTTTGGAAGTTTATTTTCGTCTTCATGTCAACAATGCAAGATAAAATTGTTGGTAAGATGTGTGGAAATGTATAGTTATTGTACCGTTGTAGATCTAGTCCCATATGTGCAAATTCGTGCTGGTTTTGACTTACTTTTTAAATTTTTTTTTACTCTTTCGTCGCATAGGCCGCATCCGACTTTTTGATATTTTCTCTTCCAAAAATACTGCGGCCTTTACGCCGGCAAATACGGTATTATGAAAAGGTTTCATAAGGAGATGGGAGCACTGAACTTGTCTTTCACACAATTTTTCATGAGACACTAATCTTTCAATATGGCATACAGGTACACCTATTTCTAGTCAATGACATGCATATGTACAGGCCATGTTCACAAAAGTAACTTTTTAAAAATATACTATTCTGATCAAGTTTTCTTGTTTTTTTGAAATCTTAAATTTGTAGTCATGTAATCTTTTCTCAATTTTCACACATTAGATTTCCAAATTGATTATAATTGGGTGCAACATGGTATACACCATATATCCAATAATACCAATATAGTTCCTCAGTATACCACTGTAATATTCTACTTTCAGTTTTGTGTGCACAGAGGAATGTAAATTACCTTTATTTTAAAGTCAGACTAGACTTTTACTATTTCTCTCTCTTCAACTATCCATCACAGGTCTCCCATCTTGAAGCTCCACTCCTTCCTTTATCCCAAGGACAAGGTTCCAGTAAGTACCAACTCAGAATTTAATCCAATATAGCCTCTCTAGTTTCTTTAGTGATTAAAGGTACCAGCATGTGTTGTAAAGATAAATCCAACATTAGTAACAAATTACCCTGAAGAAAAAACCTTTGAGAAACAGATATGTCAAAGTTTGGACAAAATAGGATAAAAATAAAAAGGTATGATTTAAAAAAAAAAGAACTTGAGATCTATACATATGGGAATTTTAAAGGGGTAAATTGATGATATCATGGTGATGACATAGACAACTCTCCCAACTGCATGTATGCACAAAATGACTAGAATACAATGTTTGTTCATTTTATGCTTCTCCTTGTTCCTGCAATTAAACCCTGATACTTGATATAGTTTTTTTACAGGCTTATTTGTGGCTAGCAGTGATGAAAGTGAGTTACACTTGTATTGCTAAGAATAACTGTATCCACAATTTCACATTCTTGCTTGAAACCTGCAGGTGAAAGTTGATGTTGACGGCACAGAGGAAGACTTCACTGTATTGTCCAACCCTGGGACAGAAGCTGGCAGATCCTCTGACCCGGAGCCCGCCCCCATTGGTGATCTTGAGACAGGCGACCAGACATTTGATGTAGGTCAACTGGCGTACACTCGTAGCGGAGACAAAGCCAATTCTGCTAATATCGGTGAGCTAGGAGGATCATGAGGTCAAAGATCAAAGCTTTTTGATTCTGAATATTTTTTATTATTACTTCCTCCTTTGCAATTCTTCAGAATGATTGGAGACATTTAGTTCAAATTAAATTGGCAATACATACAGGTGAACTAACCAGGTTATTTGGTTTATTATAATGGACAATGTACATGAAATTTCTCTTCTAGTTTGTTTTAATGTCACATGCATAATTACGTCATTTGCATTGCCTTCCTTTTATGGGTTTATATTTTGTATTATTGCACTTATTGTTATGTGTAAATTGTTGTAAACTTTGTTTATAATAATAATAATAATAATAATAACAATATTCCGCTTTTATATAGCGATTAATATACTTACGATGTCTCTAAGCGCTTTACAGATATACTATAATCCAGGTCATTGGATTCAATGCTTGCCCGCACACTCCCCACTCCCTGGGGAGTATTCCAGCCAGGCGTTACTTGACGTTAAAAAACTATTTTACCAACAATGACGGTGGCATCCTACTGGGTACCCATTTAACACCTGGGTGGAGAGTAGAAAGTGTAGGTTAATATCTTGCCAAAAGATATTAGTGCCGTATCAGGATTTGAACCCTCAGGTCATAGTTATGCTTTAGTGGAAGAAGAATTTCTGTTGTGATGGCAAATGAATCAATATCTTCAAATTTAAGTTGTATATAAGAGACTTTGGCAGATTTTCATAGAATTTCTTGAAATTATTATTATTTTATTTTCTTTTCCTAGGTGTGATTGCCAGACATCCATCCTATTTGCCTTACCTGAAGAAAGCTCTCACAGCTCAGGCTGTGCAGGAGTACTTCCAGCATGTATTCGAGCCATCTGAAGAAGGAGAAGAATTGGTCATCAGGTTAGTTCATCATTTTTGTATTCATATATATATAATACACATATAACTCCTAAAGTTTTGGGGAGAAGATTGGCAGCCTGGAGACAATTCTTCTTGTTGTTGTGTTTTTTCCCCTTCTTCTTCTTCATTTTGTCCATTTACGTATTTCTTTTTACTCATGGAACAAGTAGTTATGAGAGTAGACGTGTATAGATTATTGCTAGTGTTATACTTGTCTCACCTGCATCCGGCACAACGTGTACCAAAAATCAAGATAGACTCTTACAAGACAGTAAATGTTAGAGCTTGTAGCGGAGATATTGAACCCAACCCAGGCCCACCTAAGAAGGGAATCAAACAAAATATCCATGCGTTATGTGTGAATGTTCTGTTAAAAATCAAGATAAAGCTATGCTATGCTGTGGATGTGCCCACACATCGTGTCCAGATGTATCCGATACCTCGTATGAATTTCATCAACTAAACCAAGATGAACTATGGTACTGCCCACTATGCTCTTTAATGAACATATCTAACTCACTCTTCTTGGACACAAGTGTTGACAAGAGAAGCCCGCAAGATAATCCCCCCTCTGCTGATGTTCATAACAACGTAACCAGGAATAAGAACTCTGCAAGGAGACCTATTCTAGGCAAACTGTCAATTGCAACCATCAACTTTCGCAGTATTAAGAAACGTGTGGCAGAATTTCAAAGCTTCATTGCAGATAAATGCCCTGACATAATTTTAGGAACTGAATCATGGCTTAATGAAAGTATATTATCTTCGGAGATCTTCCCAAATCAGTATAATGTTGTACAGAAAGACAGGGATGAAAGGGAAGGAGGTGGAGTATTTATAGCAGTCGTAAACCACCTACCAATAATAGAGAGACCAGATCTCACCCAGGACAACAGCAAACAGGTATGGTGCGAAATACCTGGAAGTCAGAGAAGGTTCATCGGTTGCTACTACAGACCACCAACTGCAATGGACGACCTCTCACAGTTAGACCTTACCTTACAGAAGATCAAGCAAGAGATCATAACACCCTACATCATCCTGGGTGGTGATTTCAACATACCAAATATGACTTGGTCTGAAAACAACACCAATCCTAAGGGCCGCCTCCAAGAACAGATCGTGACTTTAATGGACGACCATAGCTTAGAGCAACAGGTCAACTTCACAACCAGGCAGGATAGTAGTGGTACCGAGAACACTCTTGACCTCTGCTTTACAACTCATCATGCACATGTTATAGATGTCTATCCACTTACACCTCTAGCAGACCACTGCATAGTTATGATGGAAATCGAAGCCATGCTCTCCATCTCGGCAAGGCCTCCCAGAACAGTGTATCAGTGGAGCAAAGTGGATGAAGCAGCCTTCAAAGATGACATCTGAACATCCGCCACAGAATTCATCAACAGCAAGCCTGAAGAGAATTTGGTTAACGAGAACTGGTGCCTCTTCAAGAACACCATCACTGCTCTTATCAACAAACATGTCCCCAGCAAAAGGATAGGGAAAAAGTTCCAACCACCATGGTTTTCTCAGAAACACAAACGGCTTTGTAGAAGAAAGGAACGCTACTACATCAAAGCAAGACAAAACAGCACTAAACCAGAGTATTGGGACAAGTTCAAGACCGTCCGGAAAGAAGTAGACAGGGAACTACGTAAGGCAAGGAGAAAGTACATATCAGAACTATCTATATCTCATGACGTAAGGAAGTTCTGGAAGTACGTCAAATCCCGCAAGAGAGATAATGTTGGTATCCACGCACTTAAGGTTGACAACGTAACTGTAGTACAGCTCAAAGTGTTAGCACAACAGTTCCAGAGTGTCTTCACCCAGGAAGACCCGCTACTGCCAACATTGTCAAATAGTCCCCATCAAGACATATTAGATGTGAACATCACATCAAAACAGATGTGCTAGTGCCTATGGGAAAGCACTTAAAGCGTCTTCAAACGCTTACACTATACTTGCTTTCTTTGCAGTCAGGTAGAATAATCAATCAATTTATTTATTAGAATATTTATCTTGATGCTTATTTGTAGTCCCATTATCTAATATGAGTGTGTTTATGCTTGACAGGTATGATCTCCCAGGTCTGGATGCCCTTAACTTTATGCTCAAGAAGTCACTAGGTGGTGGTGGTGTTACTTCCCTAAGGAGTGATCCCCAGGTGAGTGTTGAGTCCCCCCCCCCCCCCCCCCCCCCAATTAATATTCATTATCCAGTAAGATAGCTTTCCTCAAGTCCCTCATCAAAGTCTGGTAGATCCAATATAAGTGGTGATGGCAGTGGCATTGTGGGTAAAGAAACAATTGTGGTGATCACAAGTTACAGGGCTTTCTTGGTCTTCAAAATATTAGCGGTGGTCAGCCAATGTCCAAAAAGATTCATGAGACTAAAGGATCACCAGGAAATTTTGTCTATTAGACCTACAAACTTGTGGAGCTTTCTGCTAGTTGTCAGAAAGTCTATCCAACAGAAACATTATTTGAATGTTTGGTCTCTTGAAACTTTCTAACTACTTGTCACAGGGCTGAAGACCAAAACTTTTGGTCTTCTGAACTTAAGTCTGTAGACCACTTCCTAAGTAACTGTTTTGTCAACTTAGAAATTGTGTTGGTGATATTAAAAGGGACAGTGCAATCGATAGTGGCAGTCCTATTGGAAACTGTAGCGTATGAGGTAGCAGTAACAAGAGTAGTACCGGTAATATTTCGAGTTAAGAGCTGAATAATATCATGCAGTCAAACTAGTAACCTCCTGTATGGAAAGAGCGCTTGTCTGTGAAGACTGTATGTTTTGTTTCTCACTGAATTCTGCTTGATAGGAACATGTACTTAAATACCAACTGGCAATAAATGTCTTTCTTTTCTCACTTGAATACTAGTATAGTATTAATGACTGCTTTGAGAGAAATAGTTGTTTTTATACGCTCAAGTGAAGGTTACAATTGTGCTATTTCTCGAATATTAAAGCAGTCATTAATACTTTTATATGCCAAAAAAAAAGAGTCAACATACATGTATGACACCACCTTGGCCTTTCCCTAGTTTATCTGCATGGTTGTTTTTTATGACTATGACTGAGTGTATCTTTGAGAGTAGACTAGATCTAGATTCTAGTCTAAGGAAGATATTTTTACAATTTCGGGAATATGGAGAAAAACCTGCTCTTTCATATGACACCTCACTTATTGAGTATCGCCTTAAGGATCACGAGCAATATTAGTTTGAATCTCATGAGTGCGCAATGCATAGGGATGTGTGCAATCTCTATCATAGAGATTGCACACATCCCTATGCATCGCGCACTCATGAGAGTCTATGGGAAGGACTAGTACTACTAGATCTATTTTCAATATATTATGGAGAATTTGACGTACCCTTTTGATGTTCGTGCTGTCAGCAAGTCTTGCATTTGATCATCATCAAGAATTTTAAATCTTGGGAGAGTTTCTTCAGCCATTTTTGCCCGAGATTATTTCCTGTATACAAGTCTATTTTTTTTAATTGGGAGGTAACGATAATCAATTCTTTCTTCTTCTTTCTCTTTAGGGCAAAGCATATGGGCAGATGCTCCTAGATTTCAAGATTGAGAATGTTCCTGATCTTCTCACAAGGGCAAAGGAGTAACAAGTTAGGCAATGACAATTTGGAAATTCCTTGGTGGCACTCATACTCAGCTGTATTCAAACAATTGTGATTGCATCTGTTACCAAGGGCAATTTGTATACATTTGCCCAAATATTCAAAGTCCTTAATTTCTCAGTGCAGAAAAGTGATCTACAGTCAAAGCCCATTTTATAAATCATGAAGAAAATATAACTGTATTCCTATAGTGGCCTATAATATAGGCACTTAGTGCTTAAATCAGTATTATATTGTGTGAGGTTTTTTTGTTTTGGTTATGAAGACCAGACTTCAATGTTCTATGTAGTTGCAAGGAACTCTGTAAGATCAGTCTACATTTTTATGTTTGTATTATTGATCGTTTTGTGAACAAGAAAGTATACATCACTCATGCAAAATTTCATGCTGAGTAGACAAAGCTTGCCTTGTTTTATCGTATTTGTTTAGTCTGATTTTCTTCCTTTTTCTGTTACTATAATTTTTAATTTTTTTTTTAAAGTCCCGGTACTTAAATGTTTCCTTCTGTATGACATGTCTCATTTTATTTGTACAGAATTTTATGTTCAATTTAATCATTTATTACTCATTTTAGTCAAGTGTAAACCCAGAGACTTGTGTAGATTTTTTTTGTGCTACACTTTGTAAATGTAGAGTAATCAAAGGGATCTTTAATGTGAGGGGTAACCCCAATAGAGATGCTCTCTATTAGAAGTATAACTGATTTATCATGCTAGTTTCCCTTTCATCTATCTAATATTATGTGGCGATAATATACAAGTGTGTGATAAGATATTTTATTCCTTTATTTCTTATTTTCTTTTATAATACTTGTTAAGCAAGTCGTCGCCTGGCTGGCAGAAGGGCGTTAGCTCGAATTTCAGGTAAAAATGAAGCGTTATTAAAGCAGAAGGGCATTAGCACTAAATCGAACTTTTATAAAACTGACTTATTTCCACACAAAAATTGTGGCCGTGTTCTACTACATGTATGACATTTCTATTGGTCTTTAAACCAATTTTTGGGACGGAAAGCTGTTTAAATATAAAATAATTCGAAAAGTAGTTTTTGAGTCGCTCGCGCGCTAACGATCTTCTTCCAGCCGGCCGATGAAGTCCCGGCCCCCCCACTCAAAGGTCGGAATGACCGCATGCGTGTTGCCAAAATGTCCGGTAAAGGGGTATTTTTCGTGCGACAAAGTCCGGCCCGAGAATTGTAAAAAAAGGGGTGTATTTGACTTTCCACCCTGTGATTTCTTTAAAAAGGGGTGTTTTTTTCTTTTTTTCTCTCATCTCTTTGGACTCCTGAGAAATTATTCCGAATTTAGGGGGGTACATTGAGCATTTTTCCTGATTTAGGGGGGTCTCCAAGGCAGGAAAAGCCCGCGAAAGGGGGGTTTGGAAATGTTGGCAGTCCTCAGATAGGGGGTGCTTTTAAAAAGAGGGTACGAGCATATGCGTACCCTAAATAACACTGAGTGGGGGGGCCGGGATGAAGTCTTTTATGTTCACCTGTAATCAATTTGTGTACATAATGCTAATGAAAGTTATAGTGTCATTTTGTATTAAAATTGCATAATTGTTCAAGTTTTAAATTATATGGATAAATCATGACCGTCATAATTTCTATTTTTGCAATTAATTCTTTTGAATGTTAATGCCAAATTTACAGGTTTTCTTAAAGACTGGATATTATTTCATTTTATGTAAAATTCTTGTAAAACTTTGTATCTTCCACCAGCTGTTATGCTTCCTAGCTTGCTTGCTAACTTGTTTAGTTTCACTCTTACCTATGAAATAAATTCTTGAGCATTCCTTTATTTTAAATGTATTTTAAGGACATCATGATATGGAAGCAAATCTCATACAACTAACTTTATATTGTTTTTTATATTCCACATACTAAGAATCTTGCTCTACGATTGGTCATAAGTAAATCACGTGATCAAAGATAGTTCGCCCATCATTGATGGGGGAAGCAAAAAGTTTGTTGCCCTTTGTAGATAGTACTACTATCTACAAAGGGCAATGCACTTTTACTGAAGATAGAGGTACTATCTACAAAGGGCAACGCACTTACACTGAAGATTATCCAAAAGCGCACTAAAATAGGCGTAATTAAGCGCGCATTACCAATGAGCGCAATTAAAGCAAACACAAAGGGTTGGGTTAAACTTTTAACCTTTTTGGTGTGAATTTGGGCCTGGTGTCTTTCATGTAGATGCATACACGTCCTTTTCTTGTTGTAGATATATTGTTTTTAGATGTGGAATATAAAGCAACTAATCACCTTTTGGTTTCAGGCGATGGCAAACTATCACTTCCTCGTCGATCAGAATGTATACGCTATCTTTCCTCAGCTTCGCTTCGGAAGATAGCTACATCCAGATCGCCTCGGAAGTGATAGTTTGTCCCATCACCTTCACCAACGGTAGTTATTTGCTTACTATTTGGTGTTGTGCTTGATATAATTTGTTAATCTCAGGGAAATTTCTTGTCTATAATTATATTATATTCAATTATTCATATAATTGTTTTTTATTCATGATGCATATATTTCTTGCGTACTTCTTTAGGATAGTTGATGACTCTATTAAAGAAACACAAGTTTGGTTTAATACTTTTCCATTTTCTATAATGTAAACTGTTCTTTCATCTTGTCGAATTGTATAATTCAACCAGATACAAGATTGAATTTCATATATACATGTAAAAAGATTTGCATTACAGAGGTAGCGGCCTCCTTTACAGCATATGAATGATGCATTGCTATGTCAGACAGGTTTTAGGCATTCCACTAGTTTACCAAGATCATTGTTAGATGTTTTCTGAAAGTAAAATTAAAGTGAATATCCAGTTTGCTGGCATAATAAAAATTGTCTATTTTTGTACATGTACCACAGAATGTATCGTGGTAAAATGAAAGCTGGAATTATTTAGTACGGTATGTGTTGATTGGTCATTGTACTGTGTATGTGTTTATTATTGTCTGAGTACAGCATTTATTCAAAATGATTGTAATTGTTCATCAATGATTTATCAATAATGTCTCTTGTATAATGAATTCATATTGATATTCAAAGATTTTATATCTGTGATGAAAAAAAAGGAATGTAATTTGTAAATGTAAATTATCAAAATGGTGATGCTTGTCAGAAATAAATGATAATCATTAATTAAATTTGTTGAGATATTGTGATATTTTTTCCTATTAATTCATATATAGCTAATATGAAATATTTATATATCATATATTCATGTGTGTATATATATATATATATATATATATATAACTCTATATGTTGTATCAACAGGACATCTATATATAACACTAAATGTTACATATTTCCCATTGTCAGGCCATGGTGAAAAGATTAAATTCGAACGACATTTGAAAGACGATAACAATTTAGAACTTCCAGCAAAACAAAGGGCTCGAAATTAATGGCTTTTAGTGGGAAAATAACGACCATTAGCTGTCGAATCGGCTTAATTGATTGCAATTGCCTAAGTAATAGTCTGATTTTCAGACCCTTTTACCGAATGGTCGTACATTTTGTGCAGCACAAAGATTCAATCATTTTAATTTAGGTCATTACAAGTAGTGGGTTGTTGATGTAGACAAATGCTCATGTAACTGTTAATTGCAGCTCATTTTATCCGACAGGTTTCCTTCAGTGCGTAATCTGAACACTTATAGGACACTGCTAATGTTTAAATTCCACAGTTGGGACATTGTTGACATATTCATAATTCCTGCAAACTTCTACAGAATTTGATGTTGGCTGCATGCAAAAAGAACATATTATCTTTAACAGGACATACACTAAACCTAAATTCAAAAACAAAATAACTAATTAATTAAACCAATGATTAAACCTATTGTTTATTGGGAGCCTTAAAGTTTGCCTGCGAATGTACATAGAGGGCAGTTATTCTATTGTTCAATCGTTACTGACAGGACACAAAAATGTCCTGCGGCTAATGACCATGTCTACTTAATGACTCATTTGTTCATTCACTATGTCCATCTATATGAATATAATATATTTAAAGAAAGAGAGAGAGAAAGAGAAACGATATATATTGAGTAACATCATGTAGCATACTGAATTATCTACATTTCTGTTACAATTCACAGTTGGAGGCTATATAGGTAATCTGTTGCAATATAGCCATTCACGGCAATTCAAAACTTGTTTAAACTGCCCATGAATTAATCCATTGACTCAAATGCATTATTATGCATAGTTCAAAGCAAGAATATATATTCAGTATGCTACATGATGTTATATCATTATTACAATGAAAACAAGAGGAGAAAGTGTATGAAATGTTTACAAATCATTAATGGACATGCATGATTGTGTTTTTTTTTCTTCAGACATGGTTAGAATTATAGTTAATTATAGCCAAACTGCATACATGATATAATATGATCAAACAATTTGCCTGCATGCAAGTATGTTTCATATTGGAGCCCCACTATGTGTGCAGTGATGAGTGCTATATATAAAATTAACCATGTATTCTATCTTTATTATTGTTATTGTTAGTATTATCATTATTTCTATTTTTATTTTATTTTACTTAATTTGGCATTAATATACTTATATCATTAAAAATATTATGAAAAGAGGACAAATCATATCTCTATCGGCGACAAAAGAATAGTAAGCATGACTTTTAATGGTTAAGATATAATTCTAAAGAGAGGAATTACGAACAAAATGCTCTACTAACTTGGCATGCGGCATATTTATACTGACAGTCTAAAATCTATTTTTAGAACAGTGTTAACATTTTTTAACACGCCCGATACCGATTGCACCGATATTCAACTAGCGATCATTTGATGAATAATGGCAACAGCAATGGACGTCGACCCTCCATCAACCAGCTCATCTTCGAGCAGTGCTAAAAGCGAGAAGAAACGATTTGAAGTGAAGAAGGTATGTTACTCCTTTACAAGTATCATATTATTGTATAACCATGTGATAAGACTCGAATATAATCCGATTTTTAAAGTGTTAAAGAAGGCAGTCTTATTTTCTACAGAACCTTTTTTTTTGCATTGCAGTTTGACTTTGTAAAGTTTGTTGCACTGGCCTACACATAGTAAAATAAGTCCACATCATGCACACCAATGCACTGTCCACCGGTGCGGCGCGGCATTGCTGAGTGAATGGCTGTGTGACTTGTGTGAAAGTGAAAAATGGTTGGTGAATAATTCATTGCATGGTCTTGGTTAACACTAAGACCGAAAGCTTCAGTTTCTGATAGTGACGGTTGTTCCGCTGCAGGAATGGTTCAAGAATCAGAATGAGGATCGATCTTCCACATAAATGAGGATATCCTCGTAAACGTGGACAAATAAGGGCACTTGTTCAGAAGCCTATCCAAAATTTGACCCGTAACTCCGACGAGGATCTGAGACATTACGGTAGATAACTTCACACAGACGTGCGCCCGCCCGCAACCCAACACCGGTATGCACTTGTATTGTGCAGCGGTTTGCCATGGAACCTGTGAAAAAGTGTATAGATCTAGATCTAGACTAGATCTCTAGATCTAGGGTAGAGCGCCCGGTATTCGATCACTTAAGGGGAAATCGCTAATATTTTGAATTCTTACCTCTTTCATTTGGCAATCTACCCATCAAAAGAAAAGAAATTATTCCTCTAACAGGATTTTATAGTGACTTAAATTTAAAATAAAGAATGATGATAAGCAAAATATTTCTGAAAGAAGACGGAGCATTTTTCTGCCCAGAATTCGGTAGCGCAGAATAGAATTCGGTCACGCGATT